GTGATATGGTGACAGGTGGCTTAGGCATTAAAGATGTGCAAATCTTACGATCTTTTTTTTTTTTTTTTACAATGCAACAATGCAAACAAAATGTCCCTGCCGCAAAATTTACTCTTTTGATCCTCCTCATGTGACTAAATTAATCCGCATATATAACATTTACAGTATATACTGTACTGTAAATTACTGTATATACGGTAGCTTTTTTGCGTTCGAAATTTTTGTCAGTCTTCCGCAATCCGCAATATCCTTTTCAAGCCTTATCCTCCTCCCTGTGTCAGCCACATAAATTTCTACAGCCACAGCTAAGGCACAGTTCATAGGGCTCAGTTTATAATATTTATTTTTTAAAAAAATGTTTGATTTACGTGATCGCTTAAGCCCAATTAACAGATCAGATAAAGGTGACTGACTCTTTCTTACAGTTTGGTAGATAATTGACCCATAAGTATAACCAGGTGTAACAAGGTAATTAATTGATTATGAATTTAGTTAATCCTTTATATGAAAATATAAAAATGCATTGCTTTGGTATGTTTAAATAAATAGTTTCAGCTCTCGAAATTTTGATATATAATGTAATTACTACTAAGATGGTCTAATAATGTGGATTGAATTAATGATTATTGTATACAAATTAAAAAATGGATAAATAAATTTACCTTGTCAAAATATTTGCCAGGAACGAGTTTTTGTTTATTTCCGAGTTCCTTTGGACTTTTCATGCAGTTTCTTTTAAGAATGCGGGTTCCATAACTATTCTATAAAAAAAAGTTCAAAATATTATCCTTACCAAATCATAGTTCGTTTGCGTATAGCAATGAAAAATGTACTAGACGATCGTTCGCGTCGTGTTTTTTTATTGTGTAAGAATGTAGTGTATATAATGAGTGAAAGTGAAGTTCTTTGAAAAGTTAAAATAAGGCACATAACCAATTCTTCCTCCAGAATTAGCAAGACAACGTTATTTAATAAACACATAAAACGTAAAACTCTTTCGCAGAGATACATGAAAATATTCGTATGTATGGTATGACCGTATGACCAATAATATCGTATTTAGCAGTCACGTGCGATTTGCACGTCTCCTTATCATATAAAGTAATCCATCTACAAATTCTTACGAAAGGTTTTTTAGATTTAAACGAAATAAATTCTGTCAAAGGAATAGGAATTGTTGACTGTTGCAGTGTATGAAGAGCAAAAAAAAAAAGAACCATCAAAATTTTAAAGGTTACACGTAAATAATTTTTTTTAAGTTGCAAACATATAAATACCAGATACAGGGAAAATTTATATACTATGCGATATAAAGCATTACAACTGTCAACTGTAGAGTGTAGACAAACATGATTACAAAATTTAGTTTTGACAGAAGCACTTCTAAAAATTATAACTAGTTGCAGAGGTTGTTAAAGAGAATGCAGAAAACTTATGCTAATGATTGAGCTTGTTTATTAGAATTATCAATGTCAGTTCAACCTTGTAGGCTAAAGTGTAAGAATCATAATAAGATAATCAGTGAGAACAGAATGGAGAAACAAGTACTTAAAATGCATGCGCTTATGAGAAAACTCGTTTCATGTGTGCAATGTACCATGCTATTAATAATCCGAAAAGAAGATTATCATTAAATTACTTTACTAATATTAGTTAGTGTATCTAAATTGCCGCCAACTTTGTGGACAATTGGGATTTCATCATCAGTGATGTTGATTGTATAGGAGATATGCGGATATATAATATCAGCCAATATATTAAACATATTGAACCATTGTTAAATTTTCTTAATACCACGTTTCCAACAAATGAAGGACATTTTGCCGTTGTGTATGGAGGAGACGTTGATGGTTAATTCAGGTAAATCCTCTGAAAATATTTTTGAGCATGCCATGTTCGTAAAGGAAAGGGAGGATGCGAGAAATATATTTCATTACCTACTTCCGCCTGTTAACCTATCTGAGCCAACACAGTTTGACTCTTGGTAAGTAAATACTTTTGATTCTTCCATTTCTTTATATGATATTAACTTCTAATTCTTTTATCCTTAAAGCTTTAGATAGATGGACATCTGGCGTCATCAATCTATTTAATCTATTTGTCTTCTTACTCCATCACGTAAGGAATATCACATAAATTATAAATCGGTCGAAGTAATCGGGATCTCCCCCGTTAGGTGGCAACTGTGCCTCATCGTAGTGGTCCAGTAATGAGAAGAGGTTAGGTTCTTCATCATCCGACGTCCATCGTCCAGGCTTCCAATTTTCGTAAGGGAGCAGGATCTGGAACTTTTTGTTTGGAAATCGGGTTTGGAAAGTCCAACTTTCGGATCTATCTTTACTATTTTCAGGTTTCACACTTTATAGAAGTTTGGGTGTGATAATAAGGAGTATATGCATTGCATTATGCTCCAGCATCCAGACAAATCTACTTTCACAACCGACCTTATTAGCAAAAAGCAAAAAATTTTCATGGAGTAGTTCTTGGATACCTTGATAGTGCTGATAGTGCTGATATAGTGCTGTTCAGGGTCATGATCTCATCAGGATAGAATTTTTGTTAATAAATAATTAGAGCAGAATATCCTAAGTAAGTAGAAGTGATTTGTATTATGATAAAAGCTCCAAAAAGAGGATCCTTTCTAATAAAACTTATTGTTACAGATTCATTTAGGTTATCGTTGAGCATGCTTGTTTATTATAAAGGAGATAAAGAAAACATCCATGAATTCAAAATTGGAGAATGATCAATATACAAGTGCATAAGAGTTTGAGAGGCATTGGAAGTAAAGTTTTATAGTATGACAAAAAATTTTTATTAAGAAAGGACGCGTAAACCATTTATTACATTTCGATGAAGACTTTACAATGTAGTATAACAAAAAATTTCATACCATTTTTAACAAGAAATAGTGCAAGTGATAACGTGATGTTTTTGGTGGGGGTATAAAAACCAATATTCAAATACTAAAATTAAATGATAGTTCTTTATAACCAAATAACTGGACTGTCTTGAAAAAAATGAAGGTATTGCAAGTTGGGTTTAGGAAAACCTATGCAATGGAAAATTATTGAACAAATAGCAGAATTTGAAAGTGAAGATGGATGACTGGACAAAAAGTTGGGAAGTGGATTTGCTGATAGTTTTGAGCTGGAGCAATTGAGCAATTGGAGCTAAAGCTATATATATAGATCATAAGATGATATTATTAAATTGCAAAACGATAATCATGTTCAGAGTTTCAAAATTGGTGATGAACGGTATTTAAGAAGGAGTTGGAACCAAATACTAACAAAACCAAATATCCATTTGCTTTTGTTTTTCCTACACGCTCCTTTTCATTCATTAATATTTATCGCACCGTTTAATTTCATTAATATATATTAGTAAACTAATAATTATTTATTAAAAAAAAACATGGGTCAACAATACCAAATTTCGTATTTTACACACTCATCGCGCCTTTTGATTTATTTGTTTAAGCTTCAATTAATTTCATTAACATTTAAATACTATATATTAATAAAACTAATAATTATTTATTAAAAAATGGGGTAACAATACCAAATCCCCATTTTCTCCTTGTTTTTCTATATTTGTTTAAGCTTCAACTTTATAGTATGGATAATATATTAGTATGGATAATATATCACTTTTTACGGATAATTTATTCTTGTCCGTTAAAGAAATTTAGAAGATATATTGTCTTTATAATTTTATTGTCGTAACCATTAATCACCAAAAAGCTTTTAATTGAGAGAATTTTGTAATTCTGAAAATTCTGAATCAATTGGCAAATTTTAATCAAGTGTTTTCAAATTTAATTAGAACACATATTTGGGGGGCAGGAAAAGAGTGGTGATGAACAAACATAATTAATAAAATAATTAATTTTATTTAATAAATAATAAATATACGTGTATATAAAAAAAATATGATAATATGATTGCAATAATAATTATAATAATAGATGTGTATATATGTATATATCAGAATGCAAATTATTATTAACTTAACATTAACAGCTATCATTGATAAATCAAGAAATGAAATGTAAGTGTGACTAATATAGAAAATATAATTTCTAAATAAACATTGTCCATTAATAAAGGAGCGGCAATGGAAATGTCAACTGATGCAGGATTAACAACCCTTGGCCTATATGAAGCCGGATTATCTTTTGTTGAGTACCTGTATATTTAAAGAAGAACGAGACTTAATAATTTTTTTTTTTAAAAAAAATCAAAAAAAAAAAATTCTTTATACTACTTACCCTAATGTTTCAAGTATTTGTTTAAGTTTAGGACCAATAGGCCCACCGGAATAATTACCACCATTAATAATCTCTTGTTGAAGAGTAACACCATTCATAATAACAGGTCTCATTAAAAAATCTTCAGTATTAGAATAAAGGGAATTATCAATATGACTTATACTACTAGCAACTCTAAAAGGATTAAAAGAAGTTTCTAATATAACAACATCTTTACTATTATCTATTTTTTCTTTTGAATTATTAATATTGTTATTATTATTATCTTTTTCTTTTGATAAAAATCCAATAGTATTAGGAGTTTGAGCTAAACCAAACATTTGTTTAGCAATATTAAATTGTTTAGATTTATGAAAATTGATTTCAAAATCCCTTTGATTATTAATTTTTATATTATTTAATGATTTTTGATCAAAAAATTCATTTAATTCTTGTGTAATTGAAGATATTTTTGTTTTATTCTCCATTAATATTACATATTTATCAAAAGCCCATTCAACAAATTTAATAGAATTTTCTTTATTATTATTATTATTATCTTCATCATTATTGTTATTATTTGATTCAACATTAATCTTAACACCATTAAATTTATTAATTATAGGTGGAGTAATTAATCCAACATAATATTGATCCCAACTTGAACCAAATCCTAAACCATGAATCAATTCATGTAATATAATATATAAAAAATCGAATTGATTTTTTTCTATATTAATCTCACCACCAAACCAATATTTTGCATCACTATTAAAAATAGCTCCAATATCATATTGAGAATATTCTAAATGAGTATGATATTGAAATTGTTTAACTAAAGATTGTGGATATAATCTGACCATATCATCATCATCAATCATAGGATGAAATCTTATCGGACCAGCCGATCCTAATATTTCTTCATCTTCACAATATCCTTTTTCACAAAATGGTGTAAAAGTTGCATTAACTTTTATCTTTTCAACAAAATTAATTGTTGAAGAAAGTATTTCTCCCGCTGAATCAAATGTTGCTTTTACTTTTGAACAAATTTCTTCTGTAGATGAACAATGTAAAGTTGTTTCAAACATATTTACATTTTGTTTGAAAGAAAGTATAGCGGGTGATTTTATATATTGTTGATTTTTAAGCAGTGATTTTATATCCGTGACTAATGCACAATTCACTACTTTTCCTCCTCTTGGATCCAATATATTTGGATCGAAACAATATTCTGCGCTAACTTTTAATACCATAAATTTAATCCATACTAATAAAATCACTGCACAAATTGACCTTATTCTCATATTGAGTAATAATATGATGATTATTGCATTTTGTTATAAGTGAAATTATTTGATTCGGAATGGTTTGGATTGGATTTTCAATAATAATAAAAAAATAGGGAACGTATTTTAATTATTCCTAATAATATAAAAAAAAAAGAATAAAAAAAAAAAGAAATAATTGTTTTAGAATTTAAATTTAACATTTTTTTTTAAATGAATTAGGGAACCACGGGGATTACGTTTACATTATAGTAATAGAATGTTCTTTTTTATAAAACTATTTTTAAAAAAAAAACTATATATAGGTTAATTATATAGTTGCTTAATTAAATCATAATAACATTTTTTTTTTGATTAAATAATTTATTAAATTTCAATTACAGTAATGAAATTATTCTAAAAATACCTTTGATTTTTAAAATAATCCAATATTTTTTCTCCAAGTATTTTTCTTTTTTTTTTTAATAAAAAAACAAACAAGAAATTCGCCGCGTCGGAATTTCGGTTCAATAAACTCCGGTTTTCCACGAAATCCATACTTAAATTTTGTAGAACAATGTGATTTTGCCAAGCAAATAAATTAAAAGACCGCAGTATACTTGGATACTTGGATTAAATATATATTTTGCGCAGGTGCGTAGTATAAAGGTTATTATTATATTTTGAATTACAGTAACCTTAGTGGTTGTTAATTTTGAGTCTTTCCAACTATTTACGACACTAGTGCGTAGATAATAAAAATTAAGAGCTGTTGTAAACAATTAGCAATTCACAGGAACTTGGATACCGTATCATTAAGGCATAGGTTATTGGTCTAATTTCACGTGTTGATCAACACTTGGCAACCAATAATTTTTATTTCACGTGATATCAAATTTAGCACATCAATAAATTTTTTTTTAATAATTAACTTACAGTTATTATGTTTAACAAAAATTTTTATTGAAAAAAGACATGGGGGGGGGGTAGGGAATCAAAAAAAAATTACAAATTTTTTTAGGCAATGATCAAGCACAAAAAATGATGGGAAATTATTATTTATTAGTACTAATTTAATATAATGTTTATTACATAGAAAGGGGTAATGATAGATTATCTATTTATATATTGTAAAAATTTTTACTTGAAATTATATATGTCTCTTTTTTCACGTTTGTATTTTGCCTTTTGTAAAAAAATTCTTTTCTCTTTCTTGACAAACTTCACATAAGGGATATACTATTTGAAATTGAGATAAAATTTCTTGTGATGGTTCAACAAAATTATCTTCTTCATTACAATAATAACATATCTGTGAAAGTTCAATCTTACAAGAATAATACACCTGCTCAATTGGTAAATTACATGTTAAATTCATCCTAAGTCCTAACAAAAATCTTATCATATAAGAAATGATTTTCTGGAACAATTGGTGAACTACATGTATATGCAAATATTTTCATGACTGTTTACAATGCTTCATAGTCATAATCATCTAATACATATTAGCTAAATAGATAGAATACCCGTTCACATTACCAACACTCATATTACCGACAATTATTTTACTGACAGGTACACTTTACCGATACTCATTTTACTATCAACACTTACAGTATTTATTACTATTTCACTACCCACTTCAGTTATGAAAATTAAAATACATATTTAATATAAAAGAATTTACCATAATATATAAAATAAAAAATTGATTAATATATAACAAAATGTAAAATACTATGATATTTATATATACTAATAAAATAACTTGAATTTAATATTTAATTTTATCAATTTTATTTTTTAAAAAATTTATTTCAGCTTCATAATATATTGTACTTAAAATTGTTCTTAATAATTTTTTTAATTTAGTTTATATAATTTGCTTTTTTTATAACTTAAAAATAATTATTATTTTGTCGGTAAATGATTGTCAGTAATATGATTGTTGGTAAAATGTATCTGTCAGTAAAGTAAGTGTCAGTAAAATGATTGTCAGTAATATGATTGTTGGTAATATGAACCAGACCCATAGACAGTGTAGTTTTGAGCAAAAAATGCAAAAAACAAAATCATGAACTTTTGCAGCAATCAAAATTCCATTTGGAGCAAGTTCTTTGCATTCATAATGATTTTTTTTACTTGGAATATCTTTTTCAGTAGTATTTTGCCCATACAATAAATTAAAATCCTAATAATGATCAGGATCTAAATCAATAATTTGTGAATTAGAAAAAATTTTTAAATAAGAAATATAAAAAAATACTCACTACTTAAAATTTGTGGATCTGGTATATAATGTAATTGATTAAAAATTTCATGTGGTAATTGAACAGAATCACAAATTAAGCAATCACTTTCTCCACATTTTTTAATCATATAATGTTAATATTATTAAATATTATAAATTAATAAAATTAAAATTTATACCTGAAATGAATATTCTCAGATTAAACAGTGTGATTTGATAAATTTTTGTAAATCAACATAAGTACGAAGTTTATTTTGAAAAGTACCATTTTGAGTAATAGTATTATTAATTTTTTCACCTAAAATCTATATAAAGAATTTGACTATAAAATTTGAGTAAATATACTAAAGAAACTCAATTTTTTTTTGCAAAATAAAGTTTATGATAAGTATTTACTTCAAATAAACCATTTATTTCTTTCAAAATGGCTGGTTCAATACATTTAAACTTTTGATTTTTCAATTTTAATCGTTCAGTTCTAATTTTTAAAGTTTTTTGGGTACTTTTAATAACCATTTTTAATTCTTTACTTAAAGTTTGATTAAATGATAATACATTTTGAATATCTTCTATTATTCCTAAATTTTTAAATATTAGTTCAGAATCAAAACTTATATTACTTCTCTTTAATGCTATACCTTATAATCTAAGATTTATAATTGACATTACGCATTCTGCAGAATTAGTCTATAAATGATATGGTACTGTTTAAACTGCTGCTAAAAAATCAAAATTTCCTTTCAAAAATAAACAAATCATTGATATTTGAATAGAACCAAATGTGGTTTGGTGATCTGCAAATATAAACTCTTGTTTATTTCGATTGAACTTTATTGATGGTCAACTTGATATATTGCAAACAGTTATTAAGCAATTATTTGATTTTTAGTTTAAATCGTATATAAAAAAAATAGTTGAAAAAAAAGGAAATAATAACATAAGCCAATAACTGATGCGATGCTATCCTAACTCTCACACGTCAAATGACCAAAAATAGGCAAAAAAAATGGCGCAAATTGCATAAACTATTCGCAAATTTGTATAAACTATTTACAAATAGTATAGGTTAATTCGCAAATAGCCAAAAACAGCCAAGAATAGCCAAGAATAGCCAAGAATAGCCACTGCTTTTCACGCCATTTTTTTTGCCGATTTTTAGCATTTCGACCTGTGTCTGTTTCTTCACAGATACATTATGCGAGAATCATGTGAAAAAATTTTTCTATTTTTTAAAATCATATCTTTTTATTTATTATAGAGAGCTTTTACATTACCAAATGGTGATATTTTAAGTCCCAATTTTGGTGTCATTCTTATTACATCTTCAAATGTAGGGATAGTTCGCATCATTTTTTTTAATTTTGCTTTATTATTGCAAGTGAAATGTTTTAATAGATGCTTAGCGAAATGAAGTATACCTTTCAGTTGTATTGAATTTCATTATAGAGTTACGTTTACAATTTAATTTACCCTAATATATTCATAATAAAATGTTGCAGTGGATTAATAGTGGCATTAAGATAAGTAGACAAACTATTATGGCTATGTTTTTATAGATCTATTAATTAATATTTTTTAAGAGAGGTGGTTGATTGATCAGTTTGTAAACCTGCCTGAAGTAAGAATATATATCTTTAATGCAAATACAAATCAAATTGCTTGGCAAACACTCCTAAATCCTGGCCAAATTACATCACAAGTCCTTAATGGATTTGTAATGAATTATTTATGAATACACTAGGTATTTTTTAATAAATAATATATAATAATAAGATTAGGTAATTATTAACATTTAATGTTTGAGTATTTAGAGTTAACAGTTAATAAGAACTAATTGAGGCTTCTATTCTTTAGATTTTAGTCTGATAAGCAGAAATGAATTATTTCTTTTTTGAGGTTATTGATAAATAATAGCTTTTCCTCTTTGCATGTAGTAGTAATCAAAATCTTTTAAAGTATATTTTTGCAATGTTAAAGTTTTATTATTATATACCTATTGAAAGACAAATAATATCAATAAAGACTTACAAATAAAATTTCATCTAATCAAGTTCTATAACGTATATACAGAGAGGATTTTATATATATATGATAATTTTTTTTGATCGATGCTAGTTACTTCTAACAACAATTTGAATTAGTTAGCATTTCTGAATTTATAGCCTTATTTTCTTTATAAAGATAAAATGAAATTACCATAATAACAAGTATTCTATGATCAGTCTCCAGTTCAAAAATAAACTTTATAAACTTTAATCTACATACATTTCTTTTATTACTACTAACTTATTGAAGATATTACATGTATTTTTTACTTCGCTCCAATATTTGAACATTATGCAAATAAAGTAAATTTGTTACTAAATGGTAGACAGGCAAAAAGTTGAAGGCTTTTGTTTATATGGATACTGGAATACAGACAGAAAATAGAAGTTTCTCAGATAAATAAAGCAATACAAACTGATTCTTTGAATAAAGCAACCCAAACAGAAGGTATTGATTTCTTAGAGCAAATTAAAAAAGCTAATATATTGTTAACTGATACAATAAGCATTTTATCTAATATCTAATTTCTATAACATTCTCAATTATAGCATAATAAGTATATTTTTTTTCTGACTTTTTCTGACTTTGAACTTGAGATGCCGGTTATGCAAGATTTCACCAAAATAGATGACAAAACTTAAAACGCTACAGATTCCAAAATTGAATCCTCTACAATTTACTTAAATATAAAATAAAAAATGGCATTCTTTTAACTCTAAACCTTACGCTGAAGTTGTTTAGAAACTTTTATTTTTTCATAGTATTATCACGTGATCAAAATGATGAAACTTACTAGTTACTATGGTTATGATACTAGATTTTATTATAGCATACATGGGGTTGTTTATTTAATATAGACAATATAGACGGAAATATATAATAAATATACTAGACAAATTGTTTCTTTTTTTTAATATAAATTAATATTACGTTCTTTTAGAATTTCTTTTGCTTTAGGTTGATCACGCAAGGCAGCCAACCTTAAATATTGAATGCCTTTTGCCTCATCCTCCCCAATACCCATTTTACCTTGTAAATAAATTTCACCAAGATTATAAAGAGCAGTAGGATTATTCTTATCAGCAGACATTTTTAAATATTTCAAGAAATTATCATAGTCCATATTTTCATTCTCTTTATCAATTAAACAAAAAGCATAACGTAATTGAGCATCAGCATTTCCACCATCAGCAGCATCTTTAAATAATTCTTTAGCTTTTGCATGATTTTTATCAACATATTTTCCTTCTAAATAATAATAACCTTGCCAATATTTTGCTAATATATCACCAACTTTTGCATGTTCTTCAAAACATTTCCAAGCTTTTTCATAATTTTTTTCTTTATGAGCCAATAAACCTTCTTTAAATGGGGTTAATGGAGTAACAGGAGTAACTTTAGGTATAGGACCAATATTACGATCAGTAATTGATAAACTATGTAAACTTTCATCAATTTCATTCATTTTTGGACGTAATAAAGGAGAACCTCTTTGTAATACATGTTTCTCGTATAATTCTTGCAACATATTAAAAATATGTTGAATTCCTGGACGTAAAGATGGTTCTTGTGCCCAAGCAAGTTCAATAATACTACGATATTCTTTTTGGATAGCATTAGGACTTAAACCAAAATCTACCGTTTCTCTACCACCTCTTGATACATGTTTTTGTATTTGAGATATAGGCATATTTTCATAAGGTTTCTTTTGAAATCCAAGTTCCCAAAGAAGCATTGCAAAACTAAAAACAAAAAGAGGAGTTATTAGGGGAATTCTTTTTGTTTATATCATATTAAAAAAATAATTCACTAACCTGAAAATATCACATTGAATAGTATAACTACTGGACTCATCTTGTTTTTTATGGGATTTTTTAGAATCCTTTTCTGTAGATATATGATTCAATTTTTCAGGGGCCAACCAATGTATTATATCATTCATATCATCAATTTGGATAGTGGCAGCATTAAATTCACGAGAAAATTTGAAATTACAAATCTTTGGTAACATATTTTCAGTAATTAATACATTCTCGCATCTAATATCGTGATGTAAAATTTCCACTGCAGGAAGGGGGTTGGAGGTATAGGGTTTAAAAATTTTAAAGTTAGACAAGTTACTTACAATTATTTTAACTGTTAATAAAAGCTCCTCATTACCTGCATGCAAAAAAATTAAACCTCGACAGATGTTCCTCGCTATAGAAATCTTCGCATCCCACTCAATATTATAATTAAGATAAAGCTCTCTTAAAGTTCCATATTCAGCCCATTCAAAGATCATCACATTTTCACCATTTATTTCTGATAAACCATGAAATTGAATAATATAAGGACAAGTATCTAATTTCTTTAAAATGGCAAGATGTTTTTGAATTCTTTGAATATTATCCATTGAGATAGGTTTACAAGCAACATCCATTTCTTTATAAATTTTTTTCTGTATAGTTATTCTACTACCTTTACGTGAAACAAATTGTGGGGCATCCTTAATTTTTGAAGGAACAATTCTTTTGGCTTTAACCTCAATTTTTGAATGTTGATTATTCACTTCCTTATTTAATATTGAAATAGTTTCAATTTCGGTGTTGAGAGGAGTAAAATCAAGAGATTGATGTTTATCTTCATATTCTAATATTCTATTATTTTGTTCTATAATTTTATTATTTTGTTCTTCAATATTATGTATTTTAATTATAATATTCTTATTTAGAATTTGTATTTCACTATTATTATCAACAATTTGTTGTAATTTATCATCCATTGAAGTTATACCACCTTCAACATTATCTAAAAATTTCATCATTTCAATAATATCAGAATGCAATATAGCCAAATCCTTATTTAATTGATCATTATTCGCGATAGAAATAGCCAAATTTAAATCTATAGAACAAGAATCAAATTCTTTTATAATCTTCTCAAAAGTTTCTCTAATATTACCACTAGTATAAAATTTTTTAAATTTTGATAATTGTGATATATCATAAAAAAATTCTTTTATATGTTTTAAACAATTCACAAATTTTGAAAAAGAATCATAATAATCTTGACTACAAAATTTTACAATATTCTCTTCTTTTTGTCTCATTAATCCTTTAATTGCTGCTTCCGCTGCTTCTACTCTATTAACTAAAGTTCCACATGTTTTTTTATTATATTGAACATTTTCATATGCATCTGCTATCTCTTTAGTTAAACTTGTTATTAAAGTAACGAAAGGTAAGAATGGTCCAACAACATCATTCACATTTTTCATCGAATTAACTGATATACGAACAATTTCTTCCATCATTTTTTAGTGTTTAGTAATTAATGATTTTACGAAAAAAAAATTATAATCCAAAAACTGATGGTTGAATTTTCTTTGAATTTATATCTGTATTTATGCTGCATATCGATATATGTTTCTTGATTTGTTTGTAATATCTACAAATTTGGGAAATTTGAGATGCACTTTGTATTATCCAATTCCGTCAATTCCGTGTACTCCATTCCATATTGTTAAGTTTACAGAAAGTATGATCGGAATTTAAAGTCCGTTCGCTACTTATAAGGACTCATTATTATTCAATAATGAACTGTCTTTTTTTTTTAATTTACTAAAAATGATTATCCCTTACGGATTAAAATGATTAAAATTTTCCTAAAATTTCTTACATCATTATACTCTTTATTGGATGACCATAATTATATTTTATAAAGAAATAATTAAAGTTACATCATTTAAGTACTGTAGTATTAATGTCTTTTTTACAATATTTCTTTGTAACGTTTAAATACAATTGTTATAAAGAAAAAAAATATCCATGTAATTAGTGGTGACGTTAGCAGATGGACAGAATGTTTTTAACACGGAGTGGGTTTGCAGTTAATATAATATCACGTGTATCACATGACTGTGATATACGTTATACGAGGCTACCGATTATCTAAATTTTTTTTAGTTTTATCAATGAAACCTATATTTAAAGAAGAAATAAAATCAAATCAAGTTTTATTACATCCAAATTCATTAATAAATCATCAATTTCCATCTAATAATGATGTTTTATGTATTTCATTAAATAATTTTTTTCAAAAATTTTATTTGTCTTGTGTTTTAAATGATGATTTGGATAAAAGTGTTATTGCTTTACCAAAATGGTTATCATTGACCTGTGAACACTTGGATAATGTCAATGTTCAACTTGTAGATACATCAAGTAATTTTTGTCAATTACCTTTTAATTTTTTATTCAACTTACTCTAAACCCCGATTCTTGCCAATAGACGGTATACCGATTGTAAAGAAAATCTTTTTGACAAAAATATATGGTGATGTTTGGATACCCTCAAGCAAATCATTACATTCTCCATATTTACAATCATCTCAAAGAGCAAAATCATATAAATTGGATTGGCCCGATTTAATTTTAAACCATTTTGATAATCAACTGGTATAATAATTTCATTTTTTATATACTCTTATATGTTATTGTACTTATTTAACTAATTATTATTAGGTATCTGAGAATTCGTTATTATCCGATTTTATTATGGATCAAATTTGTATATTTCGTGTAGAGCGGATACAGTTTTCAAATGATGATAGTTCTGAATTTATATCTGCACTTCATGTGCAAAGTTCATCATTAATTTCCAAGATAGATCAACGTGAAACAGAAGTTGATATTTCATCATTATTTGTTCCACGTAAAGTACCATCAATTGTAGGATTTGAAAATGAAATTGATTCTCTTTATCAAATTATAAGTACGAATTTTTTAATTAATCTAGTGAATCTAGTCTTTTTTTTAATTGCAGTGAAATAAAAGAAAATTTTTTTTTCCCTAAGGTGGCTCATTTTTAAACACAGAAATTCATAGCAAATTTGGAATACAAGAAACAAGAACAGCATTAATTATAGGTCCACATGGAAGTGGTAAAAAATCACTAATACAGTAAGATCAAAAGTTGATCTTTAATTGAAAAATTTCAAATTTATTTAAAAGATTTTTTTTTACCTCAACAACAGACATATTTGTAATAAACTATCAGCAACATTATTCATGATATCATTAACAACGATGATGATAAAACATGATATGTTTGAAAGTATTGAAGAAGATGATGATAAAAATCCATTGAGAATTATGTTTACAAAAGCTATGTTATCTGCGCCTTCCGTCATTGTTATAAAAGATCTTGATATTTTGGCTGTAGATGGTAAGAAATATTTAAATGAAATGAATCAGATAATTCCATTTCAAAATTTCGCAATAATTTTAAAACTAGTTAACTGGTTTTAAAATTTTTTGTTTGCAGATCAGAATTATTTTGATAAATGGAAAATGAAAGTTATCAGCATGTTGGTGAGAGAGATTCAAGATATTTACAAGATTGATCAGGTATTTTCATGGATATAACAACTTGAACAATAAAATTTCAATATAAGCTTTATTAATTTTTTCAAATATAATATAGGTCTTTGTAGTTGGTTTTACTTGTGATAAGTCCAAATTACCAGTAGAACTATGTAAAGTAGAAATATTTCAACATAATTTAGTTTTATCAATACCATCCAGGTATTTATACTTCTGCATGTCTTGTAAGATCACTTATCTGTTAGGATTAATATTTAATAAAATATAATTTTTTGGTGTTGAAATAGAAAACAACGTGAAGAAATTCTAAGCTTATATTTATCAAAATTAAACCTATCTTTTTCTGTAAACGAAGCGATGAATAATTCAGTTATGAAAGATTATATCACAAAACTTGGCTTGGTATGGTTTATTTATACACTTATTCCATAAATGATATTTGTGCTTATTTCTTTGGAATATATTAGATGACTTCAGGATATGTACCAAATGATTTAGGTAAATTATGCAGATTGGCAGTATTACAAGCGTTGAGTAATGTAGAGAATATAAACAAAAATAACAAGAAAGTTAGTGTTAGTGATAATATGAATAATATAATTAAAGATTTGACAAATTTGAGAATTAATGAGAATAATGAGATTGAGAATGTATCAGAAAATAATAAAGGTAATAATAATATTAGGCAAGTATTTACTTTATTTTTAAAATATTTTTTTTTATTTTAACTTACATAAATTTAATAATGGAATTATTTTTTTTTTTTAGATCATCTTTAATTATTTCATGGAATGATTTTGAATATGCTATGTCTATTATGCATCCATTACAAAAAATCGAATTAGAATCAATTTTACCACAACAAAAATGGAATGATATAGGCGGGTAAGCTATAATAATATTGTATATACAACTGATTTTATATTTTATTATATTAATTGTTTATTTGATTCTCAGATATGAACATATAAAAAAGAAAATAAAACAAGCTGTAGAATGGTCTATTATTAAACATGAAACTTATAAAAAATTAGGTGCTAAACCATTATCAGGAATATTACTTTATGGTCCATCAGGCAAGTTTAAAATTTAACTTTATTAATGAATTACCTTAATAGTTTATTACTTACATTAGCAAATATTGCAAAATAAAAACTATATATATATTGTTAATGTTAATATTATGCATAATAATTTATTATTTAACTATATTATTTTTTTTTTTTATAATTAATAGGATGTGGAAAAACTTTAATGGTACAAGCATTAGTTACTGAATCTCATATGAATGTTATATGTATTGATGGGTAAAGTTTATATAATTTATTTTTATAATTAAATTATAAATATAAAATTTTATTGATTTTTTTTTTCTCTTTTATTTATAAGGCCAAAAATTTATTCAAAATATTTAGGGGATACAGAAAAAATTATAAGAGGTTTATTTAAAAGAGCAAGACAAATTATACCATGTATTGTATTTATTGATGAATTAGATTCAATAGCTTCAAAAAGAGGTAATTATAATATTATTTATTTATTATTAAAAAAAATAATTTTTTTAAAAAATAATTACATTTTTTTAGAGTGGGATTGTAGTAATTCAAGTGGAGTTAATGAAAGAGTATTAAGCACTTTATTAAATGAAATAGATGGTATACAAGAATTAAAACAAGTTATTATTATTGGATGTACCAATAAACTTGATCAAATTGATGATGCATTACTTAGACCAGGTAATAATTAATGTTTTTTAAGAGAATAACTAAATTTAACCGGGGGAAATTAACCGGTGGGCGGAATTACATAATTCCTAGTCAAACTTCAAAACTGGATTGTAAACTCAGTTCACGAGCATCCTTGTCCTAGACCACCAGAATTAACATAATTCCTTACCCGTTAATTCCCCCGGTTAAGATTAATTAATTTAATATTTTAATTATTTTTAATATTTTTATTTAGGACGATTTGATCAATTAATTTATATTGGATTACCTAACGAATCAGAAAGATTAAATATACTTCAAATTATGTCAAAAAAAGTTTCATTTAACAATGATGTAAATTTAAATGAATTATCAAAAAGTACTAATTTATTTACTGGAGCTGATTTAGAAAATTTAATAAGGTATAGTAAATTTTTTTTCTAAATATAAAAATATATATATCTTAATTAATTTTCTAAAATATATATTATATTTTTTAATTATAATTAAAGAGAATCTGGATTATGTGCGTTAAGAGAAAATATACTAAGCACAAAAATTTATAATAGACATATTGAAATAGTATTAAAAAATAAGATTAAAAATTTAAAATAATAATTTACTAATTGTAAATGATTTTAATAAAAATTAATATAGCTTTTTTTTTTGATTTTAATGATTATTTAATTATTAGATTTATTATTCTATTATTTATATTAAAATATTAATATCTTAAATATCTTAAAATTGCGAATTAAAAAATGAGAAAGGATATATAATAAAAGAATTAAATGAAGAACTTGATTTAGCAGATTATGATTAAAAAAATTACAATTAAATATCAGTAAAAAAATTATAATTTTATTACTAGATCATTTTATTATTTTTTTTATTTGTATTTAATAAGTTGTTTGATCGAATCTGTGTACATGCGAAATAATGATCCTCTGAATACAAAAATAAATTACCCGTCCGCATCTTATCATATTGTCGCTATTCTATCCTACCTTTGTGTTAAGAATGTTTAAGATAAGTTTTGTTTCAAATTTTGTTGATATCATGTAAAATTTCATTGTTTGATGTGGTGAAACTTCATATTCATCTGTATGTAAGGACCATAGATCCCCAGATATCAAATCAATAATATATATGGAAAACGAGCTAATTGTTATAGTTTTGTTTTAGAAGAGAAATGATATTCTTATTAACGCCTGTGAAGCACCTTCGTCTAAACTTTCTATACCCAACATCAACTTCTATGATCCGGTTTCATTGATATTCTATATAAAATAAGAATGGTCGTCAACTAATACGGGAAATAAAGTTTTGTTGTCAAAATGGATATTAATTTACAAGATCTGAAGCAGCTTCCACTACTAGTCATGATGAGCAATATTAAGAGAATATAAATGACTAGATATATGCAAATACATGTTAATTTCCTCAAAGTCTAACAATTAGACCATTCCAATGCATAAATAATATAATTAGCTTTAATTTAGACCGCATAAACTACTAATGCCACCTTTGACAGACCTAAAAATATTAGATTTTTTACTTGAGAGACTTGTAATATGTATTTCCACCTAATTTGTAACATTAATTAAAAAAATTCTCCCTTTGATACGAGATTATTATTTTTCTTTGCATGCATAAATCTTCATTGGCGACTTAGCTAATTCTACCTTCTCCATCACTATCTCTATTATATTTTACGGTTTAAAAGTCATTACACGGATATAATTGATAGGTTTATTTATTACAGCAAGTAGTTAGTCCCAATTTTTTTTCAAATTGAAGTAACGATATAAGTTTAGTTAACCATGGCGATGTATCATATGAGCTATGATCGACATGATTAATCGCGTATAACGCCTTGTACAAATAGAAAAAGTTGCCTTAATTCCAAGTTTCTCTGATTATTGTCTTCGACAAATAGATGTATATGCACATTACGAGTCATTAGAGCAGCAATCTTGTAAGATTTTTAGGTTTATAATTTATTTACATTAATTGTTTCTGAGGGTTAAATTAAAATTTTTTTACGAGAATTTTTTGAAGAAGGAACAGAAACATTATATAATGATTCTAAATTGCAGACCAGAATAACCCAAGAATGCTTTTGTATAAAAGTGAATTGCATATGAAAAAACATTTTCTGGATATAGTTAAAGGACTCAAGTTATTTACGTCAACTTCATGTTATCGTATGGCTGGTCAAAATTAATAGAATAGATTTACAATCAAATATTATAGCTTAGATGTCGTTCTTCTAATACAGTTCATTTCATAGGGGTGATTTTAGAGATTTATGTTTGTGAGAGTCAAAAGATTCTCAATCTGGATTATTATTATATACTTTGCAAAAGTTGTGGGGATTATGAATCATCTGAATTACCTAACATTAACGTAGTTATTGATACTTACTAAATTCTTTTGAAAAGAACTAAAACGATTGGTAAGTCTAATGATTTATACTATCATCTATTATTTAAAATTCTAATTGATATATGAAACAATTCAATTCATTTTTAGGAGACTTTTATATATCAATATTGTTAACATACGAAAAAGACAAAGTAATGATTTACATAGACGTAATTAAAGATTTATAAAAAAAGATGATAGTAAACACCATCACAAAACAATATTTATAAAAGTAATCAAATATGAAATTAACAAATATAATTAAGATGAAATCAATATTAATAAAAGTGAATCTAAACTGTTTGATAATATACACGGTATATAATTGATATTTTTACCCAGATTCAAGAGAAAATCAATGGATATATATAATTTAAGAGGTCTTTTATAGGAAATAACGAGTGATAAATACTATATTCAAAAGATACAAGATATAAAGGTATTATAAAATTAATCAAGGAAATTAATACAATGAATGTTGAGTTTATCTAGATCAATTATGTATGTATTTACATAAAGCATTATTTAAGTAAATATACGTATAAAAAATATATAGTGATTTTTCAAGTTTAAAGCTACTTAAACTCCTAACTCCGATAAGAATTATTTTTAATAAAAATTTGGTAAAGCGTCGGCCGAATTTGAATATATTGTTGTATTGAGCCAGGCTATTTCTCACGTTTTCCGCGTATTATTACGGTTATTTCCCAGAAAATACTGTTTAGCGGTCTAGGCTATAAATGTCTAATTTGTCTCCTTGTTATGCATGTCCTGCGGTTTGTTGATGTTTGTTTTACTGAAATTATTGAAAACTCGTGTTTATCTTTTTTTTCAATGATTTGGTTTATACATAACTATTTTATCCATATGCCTAATAAAAATAAATGAATATACACACATGTTGTGAATTAGAATAAATACATTAGTTTTTTGGGACATATCAGATTGCGATGATCTTACGTGAATACAAACAATTAAGCCAAACGAAAAGTTCCCAATTATGTTCTTAAACTTCGAAGACTATGAAATTTACGTCTTTGTACAAATTTTTTGATTAGTTCATCCGTCCTATTCCAATTATCTAAATTAAATTAGAAATAGAAAATCCATAACGCGAAAATTGAAACCAATTTAATACACCAAATAATCTAATTTAGAAATTTATTAATAAATCTATTTATTGATCACGAGTGACGTAGAATTTTCGTATTGATTGAAACTTGAAAGGGATGTAAAATTATGCGTCAATCAGGTAGCATATAAAGCATACTAAATATCCATACAAATTTCCTTATTTTATCGTAGATTATCTTTTAGATGTAAATAAAAAAAAATTTTAAATAAAAATACTGTTAAAAGAAATTGGAATTCGATTTTACATATTCGATGTTACATTAACATCACTATTTAAAAATTAATTTATGTGCCAAGATTTCTTCATAGAAAAGACACGAATTTTATATGTAAAGAACTATGATAATTATCATTGTATAATTTACTTTTCTAGAATTCATTTGTAGATGAAACCATTTATTATAAACAAAACTTTTTTCGTTGTGCATTATGACGATCATTCTCTTTCCAAAATTTACATATTCAACAAATGAGAAAATATTTAAATTTAAATAAAGCCGTAATTACCACAATGAGTGAAAAAAATAAAAAAAAATTTTCTTATAAATATATAAATGACAATATTAATTCAAATAATTCAAACGGTATAAAATTATCATTTCGAAATTTACATTATTTATCTTTTGACCAATCAAATCATGCGAAGTATTAGCGGAATTGGTAAATTTATAGAAACGTCATCCAAAGTTATGGAACAAGTAAATGTCATTGGATCTTTCATACCTCTTATATCTTTAATATCTGAATTAACAAAAGAAATAGTAGAAACTTATGAAAATGCTCAGTATAATAAAAAAACCTGTGAAGTATTAGTTAATCGAATTGAAGCTGCGGAAGTTACGCTTAAAATATTAATTAGAGAAAAAGATGAAAATCTTCTTAGTCAAGGTTATAGTAAATCTCTTGATAAATATGTAAATTGTTTAAAAGATATTAGAGATTTTTGTAATGATATTACTCAATTATCAAAATTTAAAAAATTTTATACAAGTGGAAGTATTAAAGAAAAATTTCGTGAGATTATTGAAGAATTTGATAATTGTTCAAGAGATTTAAATTTAGCAATAACTATTACTACAAATGAACAGATGAATAAATATTTATCATTTTTACATCTTGATATGATTGAAATGATGAAATTTTTGGATAATATTGAAGGACTATTGAAAATAGAACTAAAAAATTCGTCTCTAATACCAATGAAATTCAATTTCAAAATCAGGAAATCATTTTTAAAATAAATAATGTTGAAAATCAAAATAATAAAATTATTGAACAAAATAATAAAATCTTAGAATATGGAGATAAAAGTAAATCACTTGATTTTACTCCACTCAATGAAGAAATTATTAAAATTTTTTTACTTAATGAACAAGTAAATAATTCAAATTTAATATTAGTAACAAATCAAATTAAACCTTCAGAATTGGAAGACGCGTCACATCATGTCATACGTAAAGGTAGCATTCAAAAAAAAGTTTATCGTGCAATGGATGTTGCTTGTAAATCAATATCTATGAATAACATTCAAAAGCATCTTGCTATTCTAGAAAAATTGAATATATGTCCATATATTATTCAATTTTATGGTTTATCAGAAATATGTGAGAAAAATGTGATGGTTTTTGAATGGGCGGAACATGGAAATTTAAGAGAATTATATTTAAATAATAATATTAGGTGGGATGCAAAAATTTCAATTGCAAGAGATATTTGTCGTGGCTTGGCTTTCTTACATAGTGTAAATATTCTCCATCATGATTTAAAATGCGAAAATATTTTAATCACAGAAAAAATGCAGCCTAAAATTTCAAATTTTAGCCTTGCTCGTGAATTTAATGCTGTTACCCTCCCTATTGATAATTTTAATGATATAATGCATTGGTTGGCTCCTGAGAAATTGGAATGCATTAAGGATTCCAAAAAACGTGAAAATATTAACAGATATACTATTCAATGTGAAATTTTCAGTTTTGGAATGTTACTCTGGGAACTTGGTTTTCAAAGAAAACCATATGAAAATATGACTTTTATGGGAATACTAGATCATGTTTTAAACGGTGGTAGAGAATCATTTGATATTAAATCAGGTTCTAATTCAATTCAAGAAGAGTATTTTGCCATTATAAAACTTGCTTGGGTACAGGAGCCATCATTACGACCAGGTATTCAACAGTTATTTAATTTGTTACAAGAATTATATGAAAATCATAATATATTTCCATTATTACATCCAATACCGAGTCATGTTGTTGAAAGATCACAAAATAATGTACAAAATACCATACCATCAATGGTCATTATCCAGATATTTATAATAATTCTTTTTATTCCTTTTTATTTTATTTTTTTCTTTTTCGTCTTTAAATTGTTCGTACTTGGTCATTCATATTTGTAATTATCAATTTATCATATTAATGTTTGTATATATATAAATATAAATTAATGGCTTCATATTTATGTATTTTTATCCGTTATCACGTGATTTGTATAGGCATTATTTATTTTATTATTAATTGAATAAAGCTCTTACATTTAGTTGTATTTAATGATATACGACTTTGTTGAATTTTTGTGAATTCTGGTTGAAACAGGACTAAAAATATCACTAGATATTAATAAAATATAAACAAAAGATTGGGGAAAATCCCTGTAAGTTACCACCATTACAAACAGTGGACCAAACTATACATGACGTTAAAAACCAAACCCCCAAGCGGAGTCGTCCTGCCTGTTATTAAAAAAATCTGAGGCGTGACCTAATTCTATTATCTATATCGTATCGGTGTAATAAATCGGAGAATGAATTGGTGAATTAGGAGATAAATTTCATGTTTGGAATCCACTGGTTCAAAAATTGGAGCTGAATTAATATCATTATCGAGGAAGTGTGTGACGAGACTTTGTCCAGGATAAGAGTTTGTTTGTGATCAAGGAGTATTGCTGAACAAATCGTAGGCAAAAAAGGTTTTAATTATCCAAAAGATAAAAAAAAATCTACGTAATCACGTGATACCGTATTTTAAATACTAATGTGTGTATGTTTTCGAGCCAATAAAATTACACGATAAATATAAAACTATTTTCAATTGGAATATCAATCCACAAATAATGAATTGAGTTAATTACTGAGATGCCCTTTAGACTTCACTATCTAAATTCATTTATGCGACAGATTTCCATCGATAAGATTCTATCTAGTATATTGTTCTTTTAATTGTAACTAATTTAACATTGTTTATAAGTTAAATTACGGATATGCTTTTTTTTTAAAAAAAAATCGCATGCTATCATTATGAATTTATGTTTTTTTTTCGAAAGCCAAATCTGCAAGTTCAGTGTAGGTAAAACAAAAAATGAAGGATAATATTTTTGATGTTAATTTTACACAGTCAAGAATTACAAGAATTATAAAAATTTGCTTTAAAAGTGGGAAGAAACGTGGTTACTAGTTTCGGTTTTTTTTCCTCTTCTTCTGCTTCAAATTTGTTACATTATTCTTGATAATTACTTGGTACATTTTTACTTCCAAAGCCTTAGGTTTTAAAAAGCGTATTAAGAATTCACGACGCGCATTATCTGAACAAATTTATGGTTTGTGACGCAAATAACTGAGATAACTGAAAATAACTTCTAAATGATATCAGATTGAGGTTACACTTCGGATCACCTTAATGTAGACAACGGTTAATTACTTTTTTGTAGTCGTATATAAAAAAAGATTAAAAGATAGGCTCACAAGATCAGATTACCTAATGAAAGTCGTTGATTAGGGCGTTTTTTATCAATGCGCAAAAATTTCACCGCATAAATTATCACCCCCCAATTTAATACGGTACCTTACAATAATTATATTTATTATGCATTCGTGTGATTCGAATAGTCACATGAAAATTCGTACAACAAAAATAATAACATTTAAAGAATAACTTTAAGCTCATTTAGAAAAATTTCCAACTTGAAAATGGAAGGTATAGAATTTTCAACGCAATCTATTCTCGATAATATAAATAATATCAAAAAGGACGATACTTTAAGCGATGCAGAAAAATCTGAAAAGATTAAATTAACAAACGAGTTCTTAGGCAAGTTTATGAAATTAAGACAATGTGAGAAATGTCAAAACTTGTGCTTCACTCCAAAGTCTTGCGATTTTTGTATGAAAACATTCTTAGAAAGTAGATTCGATGAATGGGATTCCGAGAATGATAAAATTAATGCGTGGATTCAAAATTTTCAAAAGAACTTTATTAAACCAGACTATATTATAGAATGGATCCCATATGATAGTTTACAGGATATTACTTATTTATCCGAAGGAGGTTTTTATTTTAAGATTAAAGCCATGTGGCCAGAAGGAAGATACGTGAGTTGGGATTATGAGCAACAAGAGTTAAAAAGGTTTGGTCCACAATCTGTAACTATAAAGTATATCACGAATAATACAGATCAAGATCAATGGCTTCGAGAGATTAAAGCACATTTGACGCTGTCGTCAAAGATTCTACCGGTTATACGTAGTTACGGATTAACAAAAGATGGTAATTGTTACATGGTTGTCACGGAAAACGTTGCACATGATTTAAGGAAATACCTACAAGAGAAAATAAGTACCCTTAATTGGGTTGCTAAATATAAAATACTTTTGGACATACTTGATTCTTTAAGTAGTGTCCATAACAATGATTTAATCCATGGAGACTTGCATTCTGGGGTTATATGGTACTCAACTAGTCGTGAAATCTGGTTAATTGGCGACTTAAGATTTTGTCGACCGATTGACAATCCATCGAATGAGCTCTTTGGAACTATTCAATATGTTGCTCCAGAAATATTAAAAAATCAAAAGGAAAACATGACCACCAGTTCAGATGTTTATAGCTTTGCAATGATTATGTGGGAAGTGTCAAGTGGTAATCGGCCATATGATGATTACAATGGTGCAGATTTATCAGAAGACATTACCAAGAATAATTTAAGACCGGAAATTATGCAGGGAACCCCACAAAGGTATTCAAAAATAATGAGAGAATGCTGGGATGATAATCCGTCAAAACGGCCAGATATAAAATCTATTCAAGATGAAATTAAAAGTATTTTAAGTGATTATTACAAAAATAATATGCCAAAAACAGAACAAGATGAAATGAAAATGATACGTAATTTCAAGATGCTAAAAAGGTATGTAATTGAAGAGAGATTTGATGAAAGTTCCGCTAGGCCGAACGAAGGAGTATCCGTCGACATTATTAAACAAGATCAAATTAGTGCCGAAAAATTTATTGATGAAATTGAAAGGATTAGCTTTGCAACGGTGTCATCAACAGAATCTTCAACCCAAGTTGCAATTAAAACGTTACGAATTGATAAAGGCGATAAGAGTGCGAATTCATCGTTAACGATATATTTATCAAAGTTACAAGAAGTAGTAAGTAATTACGTTAATTATTAATTGAAGTATTTAAGGTTCATTATTAAATTATTTACACACAAATATATTTTAGGTAAGTAAACGGAATCATCAATTTCAGCATACTAATATTGTTGAATTTTTGGGAGTTGGTACTAGAGGTATGTATAAGTTTAAATTTATTTATTGGTTTAAATAAAATTTAAATTCAATTAATTATTGTTTTTTAGACGAATGCAAAGTGTTTTTGGTTATGCCAATTGCCAATGGCGGTAATTTAAGAGATTATTTAAAAGCCAATAAAAAATTATCTATTGATAAAAAGTTGAAAATTGTAAAAGGTATCGCAAGCGGTATTATGAAGTTACATGGAGAGGGTATCACTCATGAAAATATAGTGAGTAAATATGATCTTAATTTTTATTTGTATCCTTATTTTTAATTAATTTTTATCTTCCTTTATAGAATCCAAAAAATATTCTTATATTTGATGAAATTGCTAAAATTTCAAATATACCCTTGCAATTTGAGAAGCCATTTGACAAAGCTTTCAGGAATAGAGATATATATGCTTACGATGATCTTTTTGATAATATTGGTTATATAGATCCAAATGCGTTTATAAAAATAAACGGAAATGCTGGAGACTATAATAAAGATAAGTCTACAGATATTTATAGTTTGGGAACTCTTTTATGGGAAGTTATGAGTGAAAAAATACCATACCAAGATGAATTCTCAGATGGTGGGATCTTAGGGTTAATCAGAAAGATTAAAGATGGGCACAGAGAAAAAGCTGATATTCCCGATATTACTAAATTTCCCGCCGAGTATATAAACCTTTATACAAAATGTTGGAATGGAGATAGTGCAGCTAGGCCAACAATTAAAGAAGTTAATGATAAACTTATTAATATAAATTAGTTTGTAACCAAGGATAAGAATTTATTTTGATTTATATATAAATGTATTTTAGCATAAATATCAATATAAATTTATTTTAGCATAAATATCAATACAAAAATTTTTTGTAATACTTGTAATCAAATAAATTGCGCAATAAAATAATTATTACTGTACACTAACAAAACTTCCAGCAAAATCATTTTTTGAGGGAAGAGAGAACATGAGTTTTTATTGACCTACAAAATACAAATGACTTTCAATTATTTTTTTCCTAAAAAAAAAATTAGTAATATAATCAATGTGACTTACCTATAGTCGCATTTCTTTCTAAAACTTGTGGTAGTCCAGCAAATATTGAATTTAAATCATCAATAACTGTTTTAATGTCAGGTCGTTTATTTGGATCATTATCCCAACATTGTCTGGAAAGTTTAACAAAATTTTCTGGAGTAAAAAGCGTATGACGTTCACGATAATCGTTTATTATTTCGAACGTCAAACACAAATCTCTAAATTCGCCACGTGAATCTGCCATGAAATTTTCAAAAGGAGCTTTAGAGGATGAAATTTCCCATAATATGACACCTAAACTATAAATATCTGATTTCATATTTTTTCTATAATGTTTAGGGTTGTTCAAATATTGTGGATCTGTAAACGGAATTTGACCAATAACTCCAGTTTTGTCGTTAATATCGTCGTCTTCTTCATTTATTGCACTACCAAAATCAGTAATTTTTGCTATGAATTCAAGTTGATCACAGGAATGTACTTGATTTATTACTATATTATTACTATGCTTTATAGGAGAAAAGGAAAAAAAAATTAGACACAACTATAACAAAAAAAAAAAATTTCTTAAAATAATGGCTTACCAAGTCACGATGAATGATTTTAAGTTGATGTAAATAACTGAGTCCTTTAGCTATATCCAGAGAAAGTTTTACTCTAATCATCAAGTCGAGTTTTAAACTTTTCAGAAAAATTCTTAGGTTGTTCCTATCGGCATATTCAAACACCATTAGATATGATACTCCTGTTTCATTTTCTGTAAAAAAAGAATGAATATAAATAATGTAAAATAATCCTCATAAACCGGTTGGTGCATATATATCCTTTTTTTTACCTTTTGTTAAGCCTAAAAATCTCACAATGTTTTTACTTGAGTGACTTTGAGTGTGCATTTGCACCTAGTGTCGAAAAAAATAATAATTAGAAAATTATCTGAGAGAGACCCTATGCGTAAACAAGAAAAAAAAAATAATTTACTTCTGATACAAATTTGTCTACATTAAAATTCTTTAAATTCTTTAACGCAACCTTTCTATTTGTACAAGGCCATTCTGCGCTTGCGACACGACTAAATCTACCTTCTCCACCACTATTTCCATTATATTTTACGTTATGAAATTCATTATATGGATATATTGACATATATCTGTTGTTTACAGCAAAATTAAGCCATTCAGTCATTGTGGTTTTGATAAATGCCAATATTTTTCTTTCAGCTTCGCATCTACTTAACTAATTATATGGTAGTACTACAGTATTATGTAATTGCGCCCAACGCGTACTCACACATGGGAGACGTACCCTGGTGAAAGTGTATCACATCAATTCGATAATCCGTGGATCTTGCATTATTTATAAGAATAATTTTTGAACATCATAAGAATATATCTCAATGCAGAATACAGTAAAAAATTTCTTGTAATATAAAAAAAAAAGAGGAATTAACAACGGATTGAAAAGGTATTATGACATTCGACAGGAGATCACGTAGTATGTTAGTAATTATTGACGTGCAATACACTTTACGGATTATTGCTTAATTTAAAGCAATTTGAACAATTTAACAAATTTTTACGACTTATACAAGTGGAAAAAAAAATAAAGAGAGGGAAACTGTTGAGATTTATTTACTATAAAACTCAATATCCATCAAATTCCGATGCAAGAATGAAATTATAATTGGTCGATTATAGAAGTTAAATGAAGTAAATTGGAATTTATTGGTATTCTAAAAAAGAATATAGTAATACCTCAGATGTATATAATAAGGTACAATTACAAACGCTCATTTTATTCTCCGTTGTTTTTTTTTAAAAAAAAAGGATAATTGTTTTTTGATTCGCTACAATGAATTGGATTGCTGCAAGTCATTCGCCATTAGATTTAATAAATGAATTGGCTTTTAATGTATACACTAATAATTTATAATCTTTAATGTACGTACTAAACATTTTTAGGGGCGAATAAAATGATAATACGAAACGAAGCAGATCAAAATCTTTACACCTGCCAACAGTTGTGCCTAATTGTCAAAACTTGAGAAAAACAATTAAGTTTTGATTGAGATTCAAATGAGATCTCTTATTTCCAATCATCTTCGTTTATGAGTACTATATGATTTTTCACATTCACTGACAGTTTGACTTGCCTCTTTATGAAAGTCATGTCGTACAATGTTGGTTACTTAATGATCAGCAGACGCAACTCTGATCATGGCAAATCAAAACAAACCCTACATTTATATTCAGTTCACATGAATTTGTTATGGCGGACTGCACAATTTTTCTATAAAAAGGTTTTTGTTGCATCGTTTTTCTCAACTCTAAAGAAAACTTTATACTACACGTCCACATTGTTGAATTCTCGGAACAGTCTCGGAACATTATAGAATGATGTAATACATCAACTTAATTACATTTATTATTTCATTGTATATGAAAACTATAGCTCATATTGTCAAAACGAATTCAACTTTTTCTCTGGGAAAGCATATTACCAAAATAAAATATATTTTCAATTATTTTCCTGTTCTAATTCAAAAAAAAAAAAAAAATTTAAACAGCTTTACAATGAACGGTTGATAAAAAAAAAATCAAGTTTTAAAATTAGAAATTGAACAATCATTACTCAAAATCTGCCGTTTCACGAAAATTTTTAAGGCGATAAATTTATAAATTTAATAAATCTTATTTTGTTTATATTAAAGATCAGCAAAGATAAAGTAGTGTTACTTACTCTTTTCCTTTGTTTTAAGGTCATAAGTACTAATACCAAATGAAAGTATATACATCGCAATTGTTTTGATGATCTTTCATTCCGGAATCTAACCACCGACAATGTGTCCTATTTATATTTGCCGATCAGCAAATATATATATTAAGTCATACATAAACTTTTACCATTTTTTTTCTAGTTTAAATTTTTACATATTAAGGAAATTATCAAAAATGTCTAATGATGCCGAAATCAAAAATTCTGATTATTATATTGATTTATTAGAAAAATTAATTACTGAAGAACGTATCATTTACTATAAATATTCAGATTTCAAAAACGTACAACAAATAAAAGGAAACGTTTTTCGTGCCACTTGGAAAAGTGCGGATACTTTTCTCGCCTTAAAATCTTTTAATAATAATAAAAAAGCAACTCAAAAAATTGTCAATGAGGTACAGTATTTTTGTATATTTACTTTAGAAGAGTTTTAATTAAACTAATAAATCAAAAAAATTATTATTTTTATTCATTAGATAAATTTATATAAAAAAGTTGATCTTCATCCAAATGTATTAAAGTTCCATGGGATCACCAAGATAGAAACCGGTAAGAGTAAAAAAGAAAAGATACGTAATCTATCCTCGATGTGCTGAACATGCATAAATTTAACATTTTTTACTTGTTTCAGATGTAATTCATCATATAGACAATTACTCTTTGGTTTTGGAATACGCTGACAGTGGTACATTAAAAACATATTTAAATAATCACTTTAGCGAACTTGATTGGAACGATAAATTTCGGTTAGCACTTCAACTTGCAAGTGTCGTAGAATGTCTACACGAATTTGATATCATTCATTGTAATCTGGTAATTATCAAACTTTCAAACTTTAGTAAATTGCAAATTGTCGTAATGTTATCTGATTTTACCAAATTGTAATCTTCCCATTTTTTTTTTTAAAAAAAAAAAGAATGCAAACAATATACTTGTACATCAGAAAAATATTAAACTAGCAGACTTTGGCTTATCAAAAAATATCGATAAAGAATTCGAGGAATCAAACGATCCATCAAAATTGTTCGCTTATGTAGATCCAAAATTTTTAAATCAAGAACAAAATTACGAATTAAATGAAAAATCTGATGTATACAGTGTTGGAGTGCTTATGTGGCAAATTTCAAGTGGACATCAACCATTTAACAATGAATTAGCCGACTATGATTTGGCTCATGAGATCATGGATGGAAGAAGAGAAAATGATGTTAAGGGTACGCCTACTGAATATATCAACTTATATCGAGGTAAACTATATAAATTACATTTATTTTTTTTAGGTAACTTATTTAAATTAATAAATTCATTTATTCAATAGAATGCTGGAAAAATGAGCACAATGAACGCCCAGATATACATAAAGTTGTTTCAACTCTTCGAGCAATCATTTCTCACGAACAAAAAGATAATAATTTATTAGAAACATACAATTCGGATGCAAATTCAAGTGAAGAAATCATAGATACAAATCACGATCTAATATTAGATGATATATCAAGTATGAATTTATCGTACGTTGATGATTCTAGGAGTAATTCAAGTTTACAAGATCAAATTACCGTTAAATCAAGTATAAATTGTCCTGAAAATAATTCTACCGAATCATTATTTGATGACATTATTAATATTATTATCGATAAAATAATTAAGAAACACAATAAAGGTTTTACTTTTGAGCAGATTAAGCAATTTATAAATCAACAAATATCGCAATTAAATCAACCTTCGAGTAATATTATCGATTGGCTTAAAAATAATCAAGATAAATCACAGTATGTTTGGTTTCTTGGATTGTTTTACTATTACAGTATTGGTAATATAGAAAATAATAACACTGAAGCATTTGAATTATTTTCGAAGGCGGCAATCAATGATTATTCAATTGCACAAGTTTATCTTGCCAAGTGTTATATTGATGGATGTGGGATTAAACAGAATAAAAGTATGTCGTTCTATTGGTATCAAAAAGCTACAGAAAATAAAAGTATTGTTGGACAAGTTTATTTGGGATACTGTTATGAACACGGTATAGGAATTGAACAAAATGAAAAGAAATCCATTCATTATTATAAAAAGGCAGCTGATAGTGGAAATATGACCGCGAAGCTTTATCTTGCGAATTGTTATAGATTAGGAGAAGGGGTTGAAAAAGATGAGACCAAAGCGTTTAAATATTATATATTCTTAGCTTCACAAAAGATTTCCGATGCACAATATCAACTTGGAAATTGTTTTTATAATGGAATTGGTGTAAACCAGGATAAAATACAGGCTAAAAATTGGTATGAAAAAGCAGCAAGTGACGGAAATATAGCAGCAAAAGATACTCTCAAAAAATATTTTAACATACAAGTTAATGAAAATAGGCTTCAAATGTTAAGTTTTAAAAAAATGAAACAATTTGGATTAAATTATTATGGAACAAAGTTAACGAAAAAGCGGAATATAAAAGGAGTTGATTATATTCAAAAAGCAGCGGAAAGTGGTTATAAAATTGCACAATATGAGTTAGGTAATGTTTATAAAAAAGGAGAAGATACAACAAAAGATGAAAGAAAAGCTTTTGAATATTATAAGAAATCAGCTGAACAAGGACATATAAATGCAAAATTTCAACTTGGTTATTGTTACGACAAAGGAATTGGAACTGATATTAATAAAATAAAGGCATTCGAATTATATGAAGTAGCAGCCAAAGAAAAAAATAGTGATGCACAAAATTATCTTGGAACATTATACGAAAAAGGTCAAGGAATAGAAAAAGATCCCGAAAAAGCCTTTAATTGGTATAAAAAAGCAGCGGAAAAAAAAAATAAAATTGCACAATATAACTTAGGCAGAAGTTATGAATTGGGGATCGGAGTTAAAAGAAATGACAAACAAGCATTCAATATATATAAAGAATTAGCTAATGATGGATATTTAGATGCAATATTCAAAGTTGGCACGTGCTATGATAAAGGGGTTGGAATTGATATTGATAAAGGAAAAGCGCTTAAATTTTATGAAGAGGCAGCAGAGAAGGGGAATATTAAGGCACAAGTTTGTCTTGGAACATTATATGAGAACGGTCAGGGAATAAAAAAAGATCTTAAACAAGCTTTTCAATGGTATAAAAAAGCAGCAGAACAAAATAACGAAGTTGCACATTATAATTTGGGCAAATGTTATCAATTTGGAATTGGAACTGAAAAAGACAATTCCAAAGCATTTGAATCATATAAAAATGCGGCCGAAAGTAACCATTTAGACTCTTTATTTCAACTTGGGTATATTTATTATAACGGAAAGGGAGTAAAAGCTGATAAAGAAAATGCACTTAGATTATATAAAAAAGCAGCCGATAAAGGACATTCTATTGCTCAATATTATCTTGGCGAAAATAGCGAAAAAACCGAAAAGAATTTAAAATTGGCTTTTCATTGGTATCAAAAATCAGCAGAAAATGGATATGAAGTTGCTCAATATACTTTAGGTACATATTATGAATTAGGAAAAGGGGTCAATAAAGATGAAGTTAAAGCGTTCGAGTTATATGAAAAAGCATCTAAAAAAGAATTTATTGAAGCTCAATATAAACTTGGAAAATGTTATTATGACGGGATTGGAACTGTAGCCAACAAAGAAAAAGCATTTGAATTGTATAAAAAAGTATCTGAAAAAGGAAATAATGAAGCACAGTATAAGTTTGGTCAGTTATACGAAAAAGGTGAAGGAACTGAAAAGAATTCAGAATCGTCTCTTTATTGGTATCAAAAGTCAGCAGAAAATGGATATGAAGTTGCTCAATATACTTTAGGTACATATTATGAATTAGGAAAAGGTGTTAATAAAGATGAAGTTAAAGCGTTTGAGTTATATGAAAAAGCAGCTAAAAAAGAATTTATTGAAGCTCAATATAAACTTGGAAAATGTTATTATGATGGAATTGGAACTGTGGTTAACAAAGAAAAAGCATTTGAGTTATATAAAAATGTATCCGAAAAAGGGAATAATGAAGCACAATATAAACTTGGTCAGTTATATGAAAAAGGTGAAGGAACTGAAAAGAATTCAGAGTTGTCATTTTATTGGTATCAAAAATCGGCAAAAAATGGATACGAAGATGCACAATATAATTTAGGTATTTATTATGAATTAGGAAAAGGAATTAATAAAGATGAAAACAAAGCATTTAGGTTATATGAAAGAGCGGCCAAAAGAGGACTTTTAAAAGCTCAATATAAACTTGGAAAATGTTATTATAATGGAATTGGAACAAAAATTAATAAGGAGAAAGCATTTGAATTATACAAAAATGCAGCTGAGGAAAATTGTGCTGAAGCACAACATGCTCTTGGATCATTATATGAAAATGGAGAGGGAACTGAAAAAGATTTAGAATTAGCGCTTTATTGGTATCAAAAATCAGAGAATAAGAAGGAATTTAATGAAAAATTTAAAATTATTAGACCAAAACATTTAAATATTAAAAATCAACTAAATAATAACAATATTAGCCGTGCAAGTATATCGATAGATGGTAATGAAATTGAAGTTGCAATCAAAAAATTACAAATTGGCAAAGATAACCGTTTATCGTTACTACGTAAAGTAAGTAAATGATTATATTGATTATATTATAAGTTATTATTTATTAATCGTTAATCGAAATTTTTAGATAAATGAATGGTCTCATATATATGACCATAATAAAATTGTTGAATTCTTGGGAATCAGTATTAAAGGTAAAATAAATTTTATTAAGTATTATAATAAATTCAAATTTTATTAATTATCAAGTATTATTTTATAGATGAAAATCAGTTATTTTTAATAATGCCATTTGCTAATGATGATAATTTAAGAGAATATATAAAGAAAAATACATTAACGTTTGATAAAAAGATAGAGATCGCGAAAGACATCACAGAAGGAATAAAGTTCTTACACGAGAAAGGTATTATTCATGAAAATTTGGTAAGTAATCAATTTTTTTTTTTAAACATATTAATGCGTATTTATTTAATAGTCTATCATTTTATTTTGCAGAATCCGAAAAATATCCTTATATTTGATGGGGTTGCTAAAATTTCAAATTTACCTTTATCATATAATAATAATGATAAAGATGACTTATATATAAATGATAGTCTTTTTGATAATATTGGATATATAGATCCAAATTTATTCTTGAATTCAGAATATGTTAAAGATAAATCCATAGATATATATAGCTTAGGAAGTCTTTTATGGGAAATCATGAGTGAAAGAATACCCTATTCAAATGATCAAAATGAGAACATATTACAATTGATTAATAGGATTAGAGAAGATTATCGAGAAAAATCAGAAAATGATATTCCTGATATTTATAAAGATCTTTATGAAGAATGTTGGAATGGAGATAGTTCAAAGAGGCCATCAATTAATGAAGTTTATGATAGGCTTTTAAATATTAAATAATATAATTAATAAATACTTTTCACAATAAATTATCTAAACAGAATCTCATATTATAATTCAGGTTTTAGAAAGAATCGGGTTTCCAATTTAGGTCGTTCAGAACTTTTAATGCTAAATTTTTATTTCAAATATTTCAATTATAAAAGTTTGAATAATTACTAATATTTTTACTTTTTAAGCATAGAGAAAGAAAGAAAAGAGAATTTATAAACGAAAATTTTAGGGCGAGTTATTAAATATGTAGTCCACTCACGCCATTAGAACACTGTAACTTGTTGTACTTGGGACACTGAAATCAGATTTGATAACGAGAATCCGAATTAGATTTTCAAAAAATGAATTTAAATTCGAATCAGGCCAGAGTTAAGCCATAGTGCCTACTAGAGTTAACTATATCCGAATTTAAATCCTGTTTTTAGAATTGAACCAAAAATTCTGGTACATTTATCCAATCCGATTCTATACCCTGGGACCTGGGTGTACTTAATATAATCGAAAAACTAAGACTTACTAGTTTTACAAAAAGAAATTTGCAATTGAGTAATTCTTAACTGATGGACCAATCAAATCAAACTTAAAATTCAGATTTTTTTGGACGTGTTTTGAAAAGCAATTTCCCATTAAAAATTCGCAACAGTTAATATTCAATAGTTTATACTTTTTTGCATGATAAAAACCTAAACGAATGCGCGACGACATTAAGAAAAGTATTAAATAAAAATATCTTATTTGCGTTGAAAGCGGAATTGTTTTGGAAAAAAAAAATAAAAGTATTATATGAAAGGGATGGATATTTTCTCAGAATTCAAAAAGAAAATATCAAGAACCGAAGAATTCAGAGTTATAAAAATGTAAGAATGCTTACTGTAGGAAGGACATTCTTCGACATTTCGACCGGCATTAATAATTAATATATATAGGTCAGAGTGTCGAGCAAACGACCTTCTTTCAGGAATCAGTCTACAGAGACTGTACTGTACAGCAATACAACCATAATTCAACGTGTTGCGATGAGACGTACGATTCGGCCAATCAGAATTTTATCCGAAATGATGGAATTAAGGCAGGATAGAGATTAAAGAAGGAAAAGATACACTAGTTGATAAAATACGGATAAATTATAAACATAGTATTAATATAATATATATATATATAAGCATATATATATAAGCATTTTAATATCACTATTTGAAGATTTTCACGAGATTTGGATATTATATAAAATTTAAAAATTAATATAAATGAGCGTTTAAGAAAGGTTTTTATTCTTTTTTAAATGATAATAAATGATGATGATAAAGCATCTCATTTAGATTCATGATAGGATCAAGAGTTGCGAACATTATCGTGACAAATGCACATTTTATTCTGTAATCCTGAGGTTTAATCCAAGTAGAGAATATTAAATTCGGGATATAAGAATTAAAGAACCGATATAATAAATTTACTGCTTTTTTTTTATTCAGCGTTAAATACTATTATTAATTAAAATGTAATATAAAAACCAATAATAAAATTACTAAAATTTTGTATTTTGCTAGATTAAGTCTGACAATCTACCTAAAATTACAATAAAGTCTATCATTCATCTATTATGATTTAAGTGTTTTCGGATTCTATCTATCTTATTAAATTCCCGATTTTAATTATATAAAATGATGACGGATAATAATGAGTTCGATCTAAGGTAGTGAATAGCATATGTTCACGTATTATCGTTATGGAATTTACTGTCTAGATAAAGTGTCCCCCCTTTAAGTGTACTCCACTTTAAAAGACCCGAGTACTTTACTATTATATTCAAGGATTTTATCCTCAATTAATACCCATTTAATTCTAGTAACTTAATTCTGGTTAAATTATATTGTAATAATACCCGGTATCTCACAAAGTACCCATGGGTATTATTCAACTTTTCAGATAATCTATGTTGGTATTTCATTATAATAATTCCGGTTACCCTTAAAAGTTTCTTTATGGAAATTAAGAGATAACGTCACTGGCGATACAAACAAGCAATATAATAACGTTCTATGCCTTTCAAAGCATATTTTATTATGTTGTTTGATTTGAGACAGTATGTGTATAGTTCAACATTAAAAACGTACAATTATCTGAAATATAAAATACAAACTTAAGCTAATTTAGGTCCAAAATTAATCTCCCCAAAAAAATATGCGCATTATGATGATCTCGGGTGGAATTATGTGAAGGAACTTTATTTTGGGAATTATTAACAAAATGATAAATGCGTAGCGCATCACACATTATAGTGTAAAAAAAAAAAAAAAAAATTATTTGAAATCATACTTTCATAATTTGAAATTGATCGCGGAATTCATGAGCGTATTTCTGGAATTCTGGAATGAAGAAAAAAAGATCATCAAAACATTTGCGATGTATATACTTTCATTTGGACTTGTATTAGATCTTATTAATAGGGCTTATGACTTATAACAAAGAAAAAGAGTAAATGACACTATAATAGATAACTTTCATAAAGTTATCTTGAACCGGTTATAATTTTATGTGAATGTACGACAGATAATCAGTTGCCGAATGATATCTGATTGATTGTTCAATTTCTAATTTTGTAACTTGATTGTTTTAATCAACAGCCCTTCTTTGTTAAACTGTTTATGTCAAAAAAAAAAAAAGAAAAAGAAAAAAAAAATTTTTTGATTTATTATTTACTTTTTTTTTTGTTTAAAAAAAAAAAATCATTTATGTTGATCAATGTTTTCATTTGACTGTTATCGGAATAAAGTAATTTTTTTTCGTTAATTTCTAATTCTCAATCAATCAATCAATCAAGCATGATTTTATGAAATTTTACATGCAATTTTCTCTTAAAGAACGATATATAAACCAATCCTTTCGTCAGGTAATTAATTTTTTTCACGTTACACAATTATCCTCTCCTCTTAATTATTTTAATAAAAACTTTGTGTCCCGATGGGGCTAATGTGGAAATGAGATCGTACAAATTGAAATATCAGTATCCGTATATTGCTTTATCAGCACATAAAGAAAAATGCCGAGATAATCAAATATCTGTCTTACCATGTGCATCAATGTACAATTAAATCAAGTCATCATATGAAAGATGATAAATAAACCGGCAGTATTAACTAAAAAAATTGAACTAGTATTAATAAAGATATTGATAAATTGCTCACCATGACTATGAATCAGATGTATTAAATGGATACCTTATGTACATTGTAAAAGGTGGGTACAGTACATAAAACAAAGTGAATTGATGATAAAAATGAGCCATAATAGGTATTAGGCGGTAACCAAATCATTTACTTATAATATTGTAAATTAGAATCAACCAACTATAATGGGTGTCATTGATGATGTTTAAATGTAGATCCATTAATTTTTAATTTTTATTTTTTAGATTCAAAATAATGAATTTAAATAATTAAGCGATTTATGTAATGTTTTTAATTATGTTTTTGTTTACTTTTAAAAAATATGTTAAAACGTTTCTGTGAAAGATACCTTTATAATGCAATTTTCGAATTTTTCGAATCAAAAATTGCCTTAATTTTCATCTATCATTCCTAATCAATATAGAAATAAACACATGAATTGCATCACTCTAATCGGTCGCACTTTACGTGTTAAATTTTTAATAATTATTAAAATTACTATATATATATAGAATTACGTATAGTGTTACACGATGGATTACGTTTAGTAAGCATTTATGCACCACTTACATTCGATAATAGCATTTATTATTGACTTCCAAAATTTAATTCATTGTTTGCAAATATCATACTAAATTTATTGTCTTTTCAATGAGTTTGTAACATGTTCTAAAAATCTTATTGATTATTAATCATAATTAATAAACGAAAGGTAAGGTTACTCCAAATAATTCCAAAAACGTTACTTGATTAAAGAAATTTGAATTAAAGAATTCGTATGTTACAAACATTGTTCATTTATAAGATTCACAAAAAAAAAATCTGACCAAATTACTTTGTATTTTATTTAATTCATTCAAGGAGACATTTTTAATTAAGGAGAAATCATTGTCTGATTGTAAATAGTGAAATCATGGTATTATTATAATCAGAATTTTATAAATTTGTCGTATATCAAGAATTTTTTAAAAAAAGAATATTTTAAAAATTTCTTAATTTTTGACGATATTAAAAATACAATACCGTAAATTTTTTTAATTCATTATAATAAATTATTATATATATACTATTCATCCAATTTATTTTTTATTAAAAAATGTCACAAAGGAACGAAACATTTGAAGAATTTTTTTCTAGATTAAACGGCGTTAATGGTAATAGTATTAGTTCAGCTTCAGAATTTATGGGAAATGTAAATGAAGCGGTTGGACCTTTCATACCATTTATTGCTATAATTGCTACTTTAACAAGGGAAATAGTAAAAGCATATGAGAATGTACAATATAATAAAAGTACTTGTAGAGTATTAGTTGAACGAGTTGTAGCTGCGGAAGATGCAATTAAAATATTCATGAAACAAAAAGAAGAAAATATAGATCAATTTCTTACCGAAAATTATTATAATTCATTTGAAAGATATGTAAATTGTTTGAAAAAAATTAAAGAATTTTGTAATGATATTTCTCAATTATCAAAATTTAAAAAATTTTTTTCAAGTGAAAGAATTAAAGAAATTTTTCAAGAGATTATTAGAGAATTTGATAGTTGTTCAGCTGATTTAAATTTAGCAGTTACTACAAATACGACTAAAGATTTGGAAATTTTACATTCTGATATGATTGAAATGAAGAAATTTTTGGATAATGTTGGTGGAGGTATTACATCTATTGATGATAAGACCAAAGAAATTATCGCAAATACCAACAAAATTAAAATTCAAAATAAAGAAATTATTTTACAAAATAAAAAAATTATCGAAATTTTACATTTTACTCCACTAAATGAAGAAATTAATAATATTTTTTTATTAAATGAAAAATTAAATACCGCTGATGATGATGATCAAGATTCAAAAATAGAAGCCAAAAGAATCATACCTTCAGAATTGAGGGATGCATCACAACATGTTATACGTGAAGGTAGTAGAGTAATAATAAAGAAAAAAATTTATAAAGAAATGGATGTTGCCTGTAAACCTATTGTTTCTATGGATAATATTCAAAAAATTCAAAAACATCTTGCTATTTTAGAAAAATTAAATATTTGTCCATATATTATTCAATTTCATGGTTTATCAAAAATATGTGAAGAAAATGTAATGGTATTTGAATGGGCAGAACATAAAACTTTGAGGGATCTTTATCTAAGTTTCAAAATCTCATGGGAGGCAAAGATTTCTATTGCGAGAGATATCTGTCGTGGTTTAGCTTTTTTGCATAGTGTAAATATTTTACATCATAATTTGAGATGTGAACATATTTTAATCACAGATAATATGCTTCCTAAAATTTCAAACTTTGATTTCGCCCGTGAATTTAATGCCGCCACTCATCCTATTGATAATTTTAATGATATAATACATTGGTTAGCTCCTGAGAAATTGGAATGCATTATAGATCCTAAAAAAAGAGATAATATTAACAGATATACTATTCAATGTGAAATTTTTAGTTTCGGTATGCTTCTTTGGGAACTTGGATTTCAAAGAAAACCATATGAAGATAAAACTCTAACAGAAATATTAGGTCATGTTTTAAAAGGAGGTAGGGAAACGTTAGATATTGAATTACATTTTAATCCAGTTAAAAAGGAATATTGTAATATTGTTAAACTTGCATGGGATCAAGAGGCATCACTTCGTCCTGGAATTAGACATCTTTTTAATATGTTACAAGATTTATATGATAACCATGTGTTAAAAAAAGGGTTTTCATTATTACATCCAATAAATCAAGTTGAAAAATCACAAGATTTAGATCTTGATATTTCTAATTATTGTCCTACTCCATCATTTACACCATTAATACCATTTGAAGAAGGATTACAAGCCAATAAAGAATGTAATTATGAAAAAGCTTGGAAATGTTTTGAACAACATGCAAATATTGGTGATATGGAGGCAAAATATTGGCAGGGTCTTTATTATTCACAAGGGTATTATGTTGAAAGAGATCAAATAAAAGCGAAGGAATTATTTAAAGAAGCAGCAGATATAGGAAACTCTGAGGCTCAAGTTCGTTACGCTTTTTGTTTACTTGATAAAGTTGATAAGAAAGAACACATTGAATTTTTAAAATATTTGAAAATGTCAGCTAACAATGATAATGCTACAGCTCTTTATAATCTTGGTAAAATATATTTATTTGGTCAATGCGATGTTGAAAAAGATCAAAACAAGGGCATTAAATATTTAAAACGAGCTGCTTCAAAAGGTGAACCTAAATCATTGAAATTTTTAAAAGATCACAATATTACATTTTTATCAGTAAATGAAGAATAATTTATAAGTTATAATGTATTATAGTTTATTTTATATTATATATTATTAAAATAAAGGAAACGTAACATTTTACTACATAAATGATATAATAAATTTTCGGGATCTAAAGTTTTTCATACCTTTTTTATTTTGTAAAATGCTAACAAATTATATATAATCATTATAGCTGGTAAATTTTTTTTTCGTTACTATACTAATTTCACTATGCCATCTACTCTTTTTTTTTTTATAGGGATAATTCTATCAGCTGTTAATAGAAAGGTATACGTCAAGGTTTATAATATAAATTAAAGTTTGTATTAACTTGCTTAAAATTATTCTGAAACAAATATCAATTATAAAACAAAACAAAAAAAAAATGTAATCAAAAGTTCGATGTTTCAGTCATTTTTGAAGATATTCAATCAATTTTTATATAAATTAGCGAAATATAGATATTAGGCCGTTACTCAAAATATGTCTTCGTGCCTGAGTAAAAAAAAATCCCATCCCCTGCATGAAAGCATTTTGAAAGGCTGTATACATATTGCAATATTGAGAACTTATTAAAAGTTTAAGTTCGAAACTCAACATTTGTTAAATAATTCAGATAATGAAGCATTGCTATGAAAACATTTGCATATACGTACGTTACTATGATTCGCCAATTGAGCACACTCGCAAATTTGTTGCTATTGTGGTGGAGAGGATAATTATCTTGAAGTCTTGAACCATCGTAAGATCGATATATCCTTTATTACTCAAATGTAATTTAGCCCGTCGGTTAATTTTTCCTCCGGTTAAATGAAGTTATTCATAAAGTGATTGTTATTTCCTCCATTTTAGTAATTTTATAATGATATGAAATTAGATAAAACTTTAATAAATAAAACGAAATAAATTAGCGTAAGAGTATATAAAGTGACTTTAAGGTGTATAATTTTGGCTTTATTATTGATAGATAGCGATAACGAGATATATATAGGAGTAAACAATGAAATGCTAGCAACTGAAAGTTACATAACTTTTTGGAAAATTCTAGTAATCGCAAGAAATTGGAATGTTTATTGAATGTGTTTCTGTTAATATAAAAAAATTTGGATTTTTTTTTGTATCCCGTTATACAAATTGCTTGATTGCATAAATACAGTATATATATCACTCGTTTCGGTTTTATTTTTACAATTATTTTTTTTACATAAAGAAACAATTTTCCCACCGGCTACCGGTAATTTACAAAAAGAGATAATATCTCTTTTATGTCTCCGCACCATAATTCACTAAAATATGTTGGGGACATTTTTTGGGCAATGCCCGTATCATATTATATTTGTAATCCCGAATTCCAGATTGGAAATCTTAAGAAAATCATGTGGCACTGTAGTTTCTTTGCATCTAGACGGAATAAACCATCGATTAATTACATAAAATCATGAAGAAAAAAATTTTATAATAAATCTAAGTATTTTATTAAACAACTTAGAAAATAAAAAATGGAAAATTTAGAAACGTTTGTTGTACGCCTTTCACATGATTAAAAAATTTTTTTTTTTCTTTTTTTTTTTGCGCAATAAAAACAATAAAAAAAAGAAAAGAAAGAAAGAAAGAAATACATTCAAATTGGTAGTTATTGCGGATGCAGAGTATTGTTATATAGTTTCTTTTTTAGTACACTGAATGAATTTCCAAAATTCCTATATAAATTGTTGAAAGCATGTTTGTTTTGTACAACGGTGGACTATATATATATAACCAGTCCCAACGTTATTTTTTTTTTAACATATTTAACAAATATATATATTTTTAGATAATTTAATTAGAGAACAATTGTATCATTTTACTTCTTTTTAATATATTTTTTGACAGTTAAAGGAACATTTATTATTGAAGAAACATTTATTATAGTAAACTAAAAAGTGAAAGTTTTATATTAAAAAAAATTAATAGAAATAAACAAATGGCATATTTTGAACAAGACCAAGTTACTGATATACGAAGGTCAAATGATATTGGTAATATAAGTTTTGGTTTTATGTTAACTAATAAAATCAATGTTGCGATTAAAAGAATTAAGAAGCCTCCAACTGATAAAGTGAATGAATATAATCATCCTAATATCGTTGAATTTTTGGGAATTTACAGCATTAAAGGTAATATTAATATTTATTGATTTTTTTATTTGTATTGATTATTAAATTTTCTTTCGTTATTTTTATAGACGAAAATCAATTATTTTTAATAATGCCATTTGCTAAGGATGGTAATTTAAGAAATTATATAGAAAACAATAAATTATCATTTAACAGAAAGATAGAAATTGCGATAAATATCACAAATGGAATTAGATTCTTGCACAAAAACGATATGATTCATGAAAATTTAGTGAGTGAATAATCTTTTTTTTTCTTTTCTTTTCTTTTCTTTTTTTTTTTTAAAGAAAAAATTTATTTATTTTTTTTTGTAGAATCCAAAAAATATTCTTATATTCAATGGAATTGCCAAAATTACAAATTTGCCCAATGATTTATATATAAGAAATAAGGATTTATATATGAATGATGGTCTTTTTGATAATATTGGATATATAGAGCCTAATTCAATCTTGAATAGGAATTATAAGAAAAATAAGAGCGTGGATATTTATAGTTTAGGAACTCTTTTATGGGAAATAATGAGTGAGAAAATACCTTTTTCAGAATATCAAAATGATGGTATCTTACAATTAATGCTTAGGATTAAAGAAGGTTATAGAGAAGTTGATATAATAAGTGATCCTGAATATGTTAATCTTTACAAAAGTTGTTGGGATGGAAATAATTTAATTAGGCCAAAAATCGATGATGTTTATAATCAACTTTTAAATATTACGAATTACTAATATACTGTATAGAAGTTAGAATATTAATAATACTAAATTATTATTTTCTCTCTTTCTCTCTCTCTCTTTCTTTCTTTTTCTTTTTTAATTATAGACTTTTACTTTTATATGAAAAAAACATTTCCTTTTATTATATTTAAGATTTTACGCTTTATTTTTTTATACTGTAATTAAATTAAATTGAATGCGGTTGTATGGTCAAAAAAGTTTCCTGATTAAAGCCACACTTTTCTTCACTCGTTAGTAACTAATAATAGTATTATTAATGCACCACGTTATCACAAATAAAGCATGCGGTTTATGCAATAAACAAAACAAGCGCTTCCGAAAAATAATGCAGGAGTCGTAATTTAAATACGGAGTTTATTGTTTCAAAGTATACCATTTTTATTTTTATTTACTGTATTAAAAAAACTGCTCAAAGATTATTATTATAGATATAGATCATCTAAAAGTTGCCGTTAATATCTACAAATATAATGTAGAAATCAGGCGTCAGCCACATTTACCAGCGCCTTCTTGCCTATAAATTATTACATAACGCAGTATAAATAAATATTGGAGCGTATTTTATTATTTCAATAAATAAATAAATAATATATCAGATATATATATATGCATTTTTTCGCTATGTAATACATGTGATTAATTACGTGCAATTCTTTTATTGGTTGATAATTTTGATAATTTCACGTAAGATTATAATAATATACTGTATAATCAATTAAAAATCCATAACTGAATCATCACCACTCTTTTGTAATAAAATATTCTTTGCCGAAGTATTACTATCTGACAACTTATGAGTTTTCTTTTCGTGTCTAATTAGAAAAAAAAAAAAGCGCATGAGCATTATTGATAATATAATCATTTTGTTAAATAAAACCAACTTTTTTTTTTTCTTTTTAATTTCAGTCTTTGATTCATCTGTTTTTTTTGTTCTCTTCCGTTTATCTATACAGTATTATAAAGTAATTATTAATTTTTAGTATTTAAAAAACCGTAAATAATTGAAATTTTATCACCTTTCTTTTTTGTAGTTTGGTCTTTTTCCTGTGGCTTTAGTTAAAAGTTATCATAAATTGTTATTTTTATATATATTAAATACATAAAAATTAAATAAATCTTACTCTTTCAGTTGCTTTTTCTGCTTGTTGTTTAAGTAATAAAGCTTCATGAATTCGTTCTCGTTCTCGTTCATTATCTTCCTCAACATTTTTAATAGCTCTTTCTCGTTCTTCATACAATTTGCGTGTAACAGAATAATACGCTACATCTGCTGCTTGATGAAATTCAGTCAAATCTTTATCCAGTAACGGCAAAGCTAATTAGTTCAAAAAATATACGTAAATTTTGAAATTTTAACTTAAACTTAAAAGATAGTAAAAAAAAAGATACTTCTTGAATTTCCTAAAATTGCATGACTATCATCTTTATCACTTTTCCAAGTATAACCAGTTGCAGGATGAAAATTTACGTGTTCGCGAATATTATTGAATACATTGTGAAGATGATATAAACTAGTATACTAACAGAGCCCTATAAGTTAAATTTGTAAAGAAAATTTTATTAATAAGTTTATATCACATACAATTCGACTTCCAATTATTGTATATAAATCCGGTGCTTGATATACGATTCCTCGAATTATATAATATGATGCAAGAGGTCTTGCTGTGGATTATTAATTAATCTTTAATGAAATGGGTATACTAAAAAAAAAAAAAAAATTACGACTTATTTTATATGTATACCTTCATATTCGCTTATTCTTTTCCGTTTTTGAACTATAAAGAAAAATGGAGGATCTGCTTGCACAACGTAGAATTCGATACCTGTCATCTTCCTAGATAAGTAAAAATAAATCATCCTAATAATAATAATGGTGTTCTTTTTTTAAATTAGACAAATTACGTTATGTCCAGAGGCTTGTGATCGGGTAAAAAATTAAATTTAGTTTGCATTTTAAGAACTTCATTGTTGCTTTGAGAATCCCAAAATGGAGATTCTGCAAAATAATCCAACACATTTTCCAAAGTTAATCCTTCAGGATGCTAAAAAAAAGATCATCTAAAGATCGGATATCACCTTTTTTTTTTTTGGTAAATAAAATAATAAACCAAATATTAAATTTACAAACCGAAAGTAACCATTCAGGATCTCTAAAAGAGACTGTATATGGTTCTTCGATTTCCATCGTATTAACTAATATATAAGTTTAATTAAAGGATCGATCAATCAAAAAAAAAAAATTCCATTTTAGATAAATGGTTCTTGTAGTTCTTTTTATAATTATTAACATGACACAAACTTTTTAATAATTATGTAATCATATCGATTTAATAATTAATATAATAATAGTTAGTTGCTGGATTATATTAGCGTGAGTAAAATATCAATCTTTATGACATCATCAGAGAAGTCGCGATTATACGTGTAACGTTTTTATTTACAAGTTTCGGGCAAATAATTTTTTCGTAAATTTTATAAAGAAAAATACGTCAACTATGGGATCTCTATACTTTTTCTAACATACATTAATTGTTTGCTGGTCAAACATTTTCTTCAGCTATTCTACGTATTTGAGGTAATTTTATTTCACCATCTTCAAATATACTAGAATCATCCTTACTTGGAGATAAGTACTCATCTAAAGCGGGTTGTTCGCCTTCTAATGCCAATTTAGAGAGATACTGTTCTCTATCCATCGCAATTTTAATTTCTTTTGGTAAATCTGGTATCAAATACGCAAATACTAATTTTACAAAAAATACAAGATTCTACAAGAAAATTCAATTACTTTAGAAAAAATTTTTTTTATAAAAAAAGAGATATATAAATTATTATTTTGTTACCTCAAAAAGAAGAATAAAAACTAATCTAGCAACCAATATTTGATTTTCATCTTCTCCATACATTTTTATGAACTTATTCCTCATCCATGTTGAATGAAATGCTATTACCAGGGCATTTGATAACACTGATAATATTGATACAAAACCTAATATATTTTCAAACATTCCTATGTCTTGTGCTTGCAACCCAATTGGTCTTTGTAATGAAGTTAAAAACTAATAAATCCAATATTAATATTTCGTTATTGAACGAAAAATTGTAGTATATACAGTAAATGTAGTAATTTTTACCTTTATTGCATCAAATCTAATTTCAAGAATATTATTTACCCATGCGAGAAGAGGAACTAGAGGAAACGCTATTCCAAATAATGATATAAATCCAAATTGAACAACTTTGGATATTTAAATAAAAAGTTGTTTTATTATCAATATTCCTTTTAAAAAAAAAAAAATTGTAAAATAGATTAAAACATACCCATTTCTTCGATATCGCTTCTTTCGTACCCGCAAGCACTATATAATTTACCATCTTTCGACCATTGAGGTTCTTCAGTACGTGTTACACCAACATTATCTTTATACTTCGCCTCCATTGCAAGAAATTCATCTCGCAGTGAGTCTTTATACAACACACTTCTCAGCCATCTATAGATAAGAAATTCAATAATTTAATAATTTCTTTTGATATGAGAAATTATTTAAATTGTTCTTTTAAATATATACGTACGGCCAAATGATTTCATTAAATTGCCCAAAAAATTGTTTACCCACGAAAATAACTGAAAGTTGAATTGTAAGATCCAACATACAACTGCTATAATCACATCCTGTAATCCCTTTTTGATTGATGATATTTTTAATGAACTATCATAAAATAAAATAAAAATGGATTATTATATTTATTATGTGAAAAAGATTTAATTTTAAACTTACCCTTTCTTTAAAAACTAAAATATAGATTATACCAGTGTAAGAATTCACAAAATCAAAAAAATAAGTTTTTATAATCAAGGAATCTGGAAAAAATGTCGCAAAAAAATGTTAGAACAATTTCTTTTATCACATCGAATTTTTTCTACGTAACTGACCTTCATAACTAGTATTCGTTCGTTGATTCTCGAAATTTGTCAACCAACCTGCAACATATGTATAAAGCTAAGCACAAAAATATATTTAGTAGGAAAAAAAAAAAAAATAAATGAAATTGCATTAAAGAAAAAAAAAATAGTTACCATACTCATAAAAAACATTATTACTAAATTGGCAGCAGCAGTAATCCAAGATGTATACGATCCAAGCTTGATCCAAAGTTTAGGTGCAAGCAACAAAATTGTAACCGATACGATAACTATCAAAACCTGTACAAGTCGTGGGCGAAATGTTAAGATTTTATTTTCGACGAGCGCACCATATTTTAATTAATTAATATTTATTTATTACTTACACTGATAGAAACAACAAATCCGGAGATCACTAACTTTTTAACTCTCTCCCTGTATGGAAAATGGATTTCTTTTTTCAGCGTAATTGGCGATTTTTTTGTATCTTTTTTGAAATTATATTATTAATTTATTTCGAGGAGAAATTGAAGAAACTAAAAAGACATGAGACAGAAACAAACCAGTCCCATAAAATTCTGGTCTTGGTAATTCCTAAGAATTATTAAATGATTTAGCTTATAGAGAGGTTTTTTTAATAAATAAAGTTATGACTTACTTCTCTCTCATAATCCGACACATCCCAGTCATATGCGATTGAGGCATTGTACCGTTTCCAAGTCTCCAAGAAACATGTGGCTAAAAAATATTCGCGTTATAGATAGTAAAAAATCACAATTATTACATATGTTCTAACAAAATTATACAAAGCTTACACCATACAGCCATGAAAAACGCAAAAGGAGCTGTAAGTGCATTATCCCATATTATAGAAAAGTCATTTTCTTTTCCCGAATGAAATCTAAAAAAAAAAAATAAATATGATTATAAAGAATATTACTACATTAAAACGCGATTTTAAAGCGAACTTACACATGATATTCCAATAATCCATATATTACAACGATTGTTCCCACGACAGAAGCTATAGATAACCATGAAGTATAAAAACCTGTTAAAATTAAATATATAACGGTTAGTAAAATATAATTAATAATCAAACATTGAATAAAAATTTTATTACCTAACCAGGCAAAATATAAAGCCACTTTTTCTCCAAAATATAATCTGATTTTATCTAAAGGTTGTCCCCCTCCGGGAGGAATCCATAATTTAATTAATTGAGCTCTCAAATTCATTTGCTCCAAAGGCAGATTATTAGTAACAATAGGTGAACCATCGTGAAGTGGATAATAATCCATAAAAATTCCATCGTCAACCAATTTTTTTATGGCTAATGATTTAATGGTCTTTTTAACAATAAGTGGCTTCCCATCATCATCTTTTGTTTTCCTGCTAATCTGATTTGCAGTAATAAGTATACGATGAGTCTGAAAAATAAATTTTTTGTTAGAAAAAGATAAAAAAAAAAGGGAAGAAGAAACAATATAACGACAATAATTACCATCAAGATTCTCCTTGAAGTAGGAAAGAAGTTTAAAACAATGTCGCCAATTGATTTGTCAGGGCTTGCACCTTCAAATTCTCTTAAAGGGCCTCTTTTGAAAACAGCAGATTGTTTGTTGAAATTTACTTTATATACAAAATACTTTGTTATTGGATGAAAGAAACCTCTACGTGGATCTGATTCGATTTTTGGTAATTCACGAGGCTGTTACATAATAAAGAGCAAATATTTTTAAATAATAATTTAATTGTTTATTTGGATGCTAAAAAAACAAATAAAATAAATAAAAATTACATTTAAGCGCATTTTAAGTTTAATAATTTTTGCTTGTTCGCATAACTTTTCGAATGGTGTGAAAACTTTTATGTAAATACATTCAAGAATTGGATCCTCCTCTTCTTCGAGAATTAATCCGGAATGTAAAAGCAAACGTTCAAAATTATCACGTTTAAGCTTCATTTTATCATCTTTTTTATACTTTATTATGTAATCAGGATAACCATAATCTTTCATAACTTTAGCAATTGCATCGCTAGTTGGATACTTTTCTATTTAAAATGAATGTGAGAAGAAGGGAAATTGAAAATGGTTGATTGCGCCACAATCGCTTCCATTTTACAGACTGCGCCATCACACGAGAACTTTTACTTACCAAAGTTTTCTATTATTTCAACTAGAGAAGCACGAGGATGTTCTTCAATGTATTTGCGAATGTCATTATAAAGGCCAACATCCCGCTGATCTAGAAGTAATTCTCTATTAGCATCCACTTCTTTCCTATCAATCTGTATTTTTATCAATTCATCTTCATAGTCCAAAGCAACTTTCTTCGGTTTTACATTATCAAATCTAGTTGATTGTCCCGTAAAGGATCTCTAATTAAAAATAGAATTGAAAGAAGAAAATCTAGGTAAGTGAACATTCAAATTCCTAGATTCGATAAATTTTATTTACCTCTTCATTAATTGGGACTTTTACATCTTGCCTTTTCGAAGGTCCTCCTGGAGCATTATCTCCCATTTTTTTTTTTTGTTCAAAGTACAAAGAAGAAATGAATGATTAAAAGCCTCAGTATCCATCATATCTGCCCTATTTATATTTTAATTTATCAAAAAGAAGATATATACATTATTTCGCGTATTCGTTATAAACACACACGTTTACTGCAAGAATCTTTTTGAGGCTTAATCACAAAAATTTTCAATGTACAATAGGCTTGTAAACTACGTCACGAATAGTCACAGCCATTGTTTCACAGCCAATTATTCTTGTATCTCAATCATTGGCTGGTCTACCAAAGAAAATAACCTTTTTGGGCTTTGATTAAATTAACTTTATATCCAAAAAAACTAATCAGTGTAACAAACAAAAAAAGAATTGGTACAAATGCTTCATTCCCAAATTTCGTTTTTTCACAAAAAATTGCCATGACATCTCCGTTAAAACTTCAATTATGTCAAGAAGATCCTCCACAATTTCGTAAAGAATTAGCAGTTTGTGAAAATTCGGTTTTTGGACTTGAGAACACCATAAAAAATCTTGTTAAATTAGCAAGATCAAATGTCGAATTAGCTTCAGGTTAGTTAGAATTCCTTATCTTTTTGTGTCATTTGGAAAGTTGAATCGGTTTATTCGTTGACTTTTTAAAAATATATTTCACATTAGAATATACAGTGAAGCAACTTCAATTCGCTGAAGAGCTTGGAAATTTTGCAAAAGAACAACCCGAATCAATTATAAGTAAGTTATTTTTTATACCAGTGAATTAGAAACATTGGTTATTTATTTTTGCAATCATTAAATTTTATAGAAACTGTTCTCTCGAAATATGCTTCTTCACTCCATGAAGTTGAAAGGAGTCGCAAAATCCTGGTAATTTGTTTATTTATTCCTTATTTAATAATTAATCAATTAAATTAATCGAAAATTTTTCATCTAAGCACTCTCATATGTATGAAATGTTCATAGAACCATTGGAAGCTTTTGCTAAAAATGAGATAGTTCCGTTAAAAGTTAGTTGGGGAATTGAAGGGTTTTTTATTGAATTTAATTAATATGTTATTTTCTTTAAATATTTTATAGGATGTAAAAAAAGTTGTTGAAAAAACTTGTAATGAAGCTGATACTGCTCTTGCTAGATATATGAGCAAGAAACCTAAAGACTCTATGTTACCTGATGTAAGTGGAATCATTTCTATTATTTTATTTGTTATATTAAATATAAATATATGTTTAGGTATCAATCGAAGTCGCGTATACTCGCAGAGAATTCCATCGTCAATACATTGATTATGTAGTAAAATTAAATGAGTTAGAAGCAAAAAAGAAATTCGAATTCATGGAATATGTAAAGTTGAATTTCCTTCTATCGTTAAATTTTATATTTATGAAAGAAAGTATCTAACAAATTTCGTATTATTTATAGATTTTAGCATTAATGTTTACTGAGTCGTCGTTTTACCACCAGAGTTATGATATTTTGAAAGATATGGAACCTCATATGAAAGATGTTACAAGTTAAGATTAATTCTAATTTTTAAAATTTCATTTTAACTTTTAACTTATTATTAATAATTAATTTTATAGGATTACTTCAAGAAGTAAATTATAATGATAGTTAAAGTATCTTATCATTATCTATTTTAATTCATTTCTTATTTCCTGAATAGGCTAGGACCGCATACCATAATGATGTTGCAGAATCACAAGTATTAAAGAACAAGATTTTAGAAGTAAATTGCATATTCATTTTATTTTAATTAATGAATTATTTATTTATTTATTTTTGACAAAGCACACCTTATATGTTTTGTATTTTTAGAAAGCCAGAGGGTCCTATGATCCAATGAAAAATCCCACGAAAGATAATATAATAGAACGAAATATAAATTCACCCATTACTAAATCCGGATATTTGTTCATGAAAGGCAATCAACGAGTTATGCAATCATGGACTCGCAAATATTTCACAATCTCAGATGGAAATTTATATTATTATAGTAGAAATGGAAAGGTACTCTATTTTAGAAAATAAATATTATGACGAAGGTGGCATAATTCCAAAACTAATTTCATTAGACAAAATATTAAAGGCTTTGATCCTGAAATAATTTATTTTATAGGGAACCAATGGAGACGATGAACATCCTTCAATTACTTTAAGGGTTTGTCATATTAAGCCTTTATTAAATAATTCAGATAGAAGATTTTGTTTTGAGATAATAACCCCTAATAAGTAAGTAGTGCTATTTATTTAGTTTAAATATTTTGATGTTATTTCATAATTTATGCATTTTTGTTTTTTTTCAAGAACTTATATTTTGCAAGCTGAGAATCAAGAAGAAATGGATGATTGGATAAATTGTTTACAAACAGCAGCAAAAGATGCAATATATGCCGATCAGATGCCAAAACCTGTGTCTGATCCAAATAAATTGCAGGTAGGTTTTTTGAATTTATCTAAATATAATTATATATTCGTTAATGGAAATATTAATTTATTTGTTCAGGGTATATCTCAAGAAGATGCTGCTAACGAATTTAATTTAAATAAAAAAATTAATGATGAGGAGACATTAAATTCTAAACAATCAATTTCAAAGATAAGAGAATTACCAGGAAATGATGTTTGTGTAGATTGTAAATGTAAAGGTAATTAATAAGATATCATGATTTATACACTGGTAAATTTTTTGTTTAACACTTGTTATTATATTTAGACCCACAATGGGCAAGTACAAATTTTGGTACTTTGCTATGCATAGAGTGTTCTGGAATACACCGGAGTTTAGGTGTGCATGTAAGCAAGGTTAAATCATTACAACTGGACAAATGGGAACCTGAATCAATTGAAGTTATGCTTAAGTTGGGAAATATCAAGACAAATAAAATATACGAGGCGAAGCTTGATGATAATAGTGAGAGATTGAATAATTCCTCTTCATGGGAGCGGTTTGTTTTAAAATTTCATTATTGTTTCTTGTTTTTTTTTTAGTTTATCAATTATTTTCTTTAACAATTTCCTTTTGTATTTAGTGCTGATAGGGAAAAATTCATCATTGATAAATATGTTAAAAAGGAATTTATTAATTTGAATAATTATGATGAGGACCCAGTTACAATTAATTTGGTAAGTTCAAAATAATTTTATTATCTAAAATGTACTCTTGTTAACTTTATAAAATCAAAATAGGCATTTTGGAAAGCAATGTCAGACTCTGATTTTGCTGAGGCTTTAAGAAACTTATCACTTGGAGCAAATGTAGATTGGAAAAATGAGCAAGAAAATTCTACTACTGCACTACATCAAGCGATACTAAAAAGTGATGATGTTGCAATAGAATTTTTACTTTTATGGTCTTGTAACATAAATGAAGTAGATAATAATGGATGGAGTGCATTACATCATGCCGCTGCTACAAATAATGCTAGATTGTTATTAACACTTATGAAAAGACAAGCTGATACTCATTTAAAGGATAAAAATGGAAAGGTAACTAAAAATTCAGTTCACGCCTAATATTATCATCGAAGCTATTAATAACTTCATTTCTATTTATATATATAGATTCCACTTGATATTGCAGTAGAGAAGCAAAATGTTCAAGCAGTTACAGCATTAAGGTTATTCCAATTTGAGAGACAACTTACAAGATCAGAATATTCAATTTTTGGAGTAGATGAGGCATTAAATAGTGTATCTAAACCATATAATCGTAGTGGTGCAACATCATTATCAACAAGAAGTGCGCCAGCAACTCCACCATCTTTATCTCGACCTTTATTAGGTATGGAAATGGAAGAACATGATGATATTATGGTTAGATCAAGTGTTGGAATGTTACCTTCAACATCAACAAATAATAGTAACGGCGGCAGTTTAACTAATTTAAAATTTTCTCTATCAAATCTTAAAAATTATGGACAATTACATGATTACGGACAATTGGATCAAGATAATGACGATAATAATGATATTTAATCTTCTAGTAAATATTTAATTTTGTTTACATTTGTATATAATTTATACATATAATAATTTATTATTAGAAATTATATTAGAAAGAAAAGTTTGATGATTAAAAAAAAGCTAAAAAGCTTATATACAGTATATATAATCTTTAGCGTTATTAATAACATAATTCTACAGATATCTGTCATTCCATCTTTGACCCAATACTTCACCAATACCTCTTTTTAGGTCTCTCTGGATGAGATTTCTGGATGAGAACGAGCGCTTCTTTTTATCTTTACACTTATTAACGAAGTCCGTGAGATCTGAGGCAGGATTAAACTTATTAAATCATTACTGCCAAACTCTTTATTTATCTTGAGAAATGTCATAAGTTCTTGCATTCTAAAGCCTTTTCACTAGTCTCAAGCTCGCTAATGTGTTGTCTCAATATAATTCAAGCTCTGATGTCATGATCTATAAAACTGTACACTGTACAAAATAAAAAAAAATCACGTGCACGTGAAGAATCAAGAAAAAATTTTGACCATTAGGCCAGTTCATAATTGTTCGATCGGCTTTTTTGGTCGGGTTACACTAATCTCATGATCAAAGTTCAATTTTGAGTTGATTGTTCAATTCTGATCGTTCGGATTTTTGATCGGGTTTTGAGTCGACAAATATTGGCTGGTGAAATTGTGCAACCTGATCAGCATAGCGGACATCTCTATTTTATCACAATTTTGTCGATCATTTATCGATCATTTATTAAGATTATATCACATAATATAAATGCCGTTAAAGATTTTACATAATAATATATGCTCAAATTTTACAAACAAGTTAATTTTAGTTTTGATTTACTGCATATTAAATTTTATCAAAATCGTATCGGTATTGAGTAACTTTTACTAGTAGCAACTTTTTAAATTTAATAAATACCATATAGCACTGCCTAAGAGACCCCCCTATCCATGTACCCCACTATAATATACCCGGGTATGATATGTGGTTAAAAAATCTTAATTCTGGTAAGAATTCAGCTAATTCTGGCCAATTGCATAACATTACTAAAAATTTGACTAAATTCACCACAATTTGTATTATGTTTACATAACATTACTAAAAATTTGACTAAATTCATCACAATTTGCATTACATTTGCAGAACATTACTAATAATTCACTATAATTCACCACAATTTGCACTTCGTTTACATAACATTACTAAAAATTTGCCTAAAATTTACACAATTTACATTATGTTTGCATAACATTACTAAAAATTTACCTAAAATTTCCCACAATTTAATGATAATTTACTGAAAAATTTCTCAACATTTGAATTAGGAATTCTATAGAAATGGCGCCATTTTGACAAAATTTGCCAAATTGTAAGTCCTCCATTATCCCAAAATTGTAACACAATTTACCCCCAATTTACCGGGATAATTCTCAATTTGCCAGAAAAATTCCAGGCAAATTTTGCAACAATGTAATAACCGAAAATATAATAAAATAGAATAAGGATAAATAATTAACTGATGGGTAAATAATTAGCCGATAAAATTATATTTATAGTTTAGTTTAGTGTAACAAAATAGTCATATGATAATATATCTTTTATTTTCTTAAATTTTCTTAAATTTTTATTAGAAAAAAATAGTAGATATTAGAAATGATTTAAAAAATATAAATAATAAAAATTTTAATTTGCCCTTAATAATAAACTAACACATTCTTTTTGCCTTTTTCTTATGATGAAAAAGTGCTTCATTAATTAATTTAATTAATGACTAGTAGTACCTGTTGACTACGTCAACATTCTATGCTTTACTTAATATAAAATAATAATTGTAGTATGTTCTTGGGTATAAGCATACTACAGGATCTATATCATTGACCTTTTAACAGCATAGCGGACATGCTTTTATCACTTTGCCGATTATTCATCGATCATATAATATATCATGTCACATTAATTTTGAAGCTATGGTTAAAGCTATAAAATTCTTAGCCAAACTATACTAATGTCTTTTTAGTAGTATAATTTATGAAAAATAAAAAAAATTATATTGTTAAAGTTAAACTTAAACTGAAATTTTCAATAATTTGATATTTACCTATATTTGCTGATCATTTGCTAATTTGACTTTGAAGCTTCGGGTGAAGCCACAGATTTACGGGCGAAACTTAAAATTTTCAAAATATATTATTTAGGTGTTCAAGAATCAATGGCCAAAATAATCATGTAGAATTTTAGGTAATCAAAAAGTTATCATTGAGCAAATGTTTATGACACAGGTCGAAAAGTGAAAAATCAGGCACCAATCGGTGCCTGATTGGCATTTTCGCAGCATAGCGGGCTTTCTCATTTATCACATTAATTTGCCGATCATTTTCCGATTTTATCACATAATATAAAATGC